CTGCAAACACTCAATTGGATACCTAGTAGAACCTAACAGGTATTCAATAAATATTTTATGTAAATTTATTCTAAAATCTGTAAAAACATAAAATATTGATCACTTTGAAAGACTGAGACAATATCATTCAATAAATACGAATCCAATGCTTATATGCCAGGCACTGAGCAAAGATCAAAAAGGTCCCTCATGCTCTTGGCAGAGATGAAGGACAGCAACAGACAACACACTGGGTGCCCTCCCCATAAAACAGCCACGCCATACAAGTCTATAGGTAAGCGTCAGGTCCACTGGGAGGACCTCACTCCACCATTTCCCAGCAGGAAGGGAACTTAGGAACTTTACAGTATCTTCGAACAAGCAAATTTTTAGACGACTCTATATATCACCATTAGCAAAAAGGGAATGGAGGATTTATATTCGCACTGCAACACATTCATGTTGTAAATTATATGCCAAATATTGTTGGTGCAAATATCCCTGACCACACAGTGAGAGGTTAACCAAAAGTCTATAAATTAAATTGATAAAGATGAAGCTGATAGCAGTTCTAATGAAAAAAACAAACAAGAGGAAGCACAGTGGAAAACCAAGATCAACTTGAGACACTACTGACGATGCCTCCCGAACAAGCATCCTTCCTGAACATGGCAGGAATCCCCATTCTGCACGCGACATATAAGAAGCTTTGCACTGGTGCCACGTTTCCCAGGACAGACCTCCCGGGCGAAAAAAGCATCAGAGACAACAGTAAACTTTAACGTTGTGCTAGTTTTGGTTTATGAATACCAAGTTTTAGTAATCCTTAATAATTCACTAGGTAGGTTATTAACAAGTACCCCTTAGGCATATGTAAGTATGAACAACATGAAGCAGAAAGAACTGAAAAAAGGAGCTGCACTTCCCACAAGGAGGGGTGGGGTAGGGGCCACACTTTGAGAACCTCTGCCTTACGGGAGCACAGAAGAGGAAACTGACCTCCTCAGCAGGAAGAAGAGGTAAGAAAACACTAACGCTGAAACATTAAGCTATGAGGTAATAATAAACTTGCTGAGTAAGGTACTGCAAAGCTTCTATTTGCTATGTATAGGACCCATGAAATTATGCCTGGAAACTATAATTTCAAGCAATAAGACAGCTACGTGCAGGGTTCATTCCTGAACAAACTTAAGGAGCGCATCAATTCTTTCCTATCTCAAATGCGTTCTTAGATTTCAAAAGTTCAGTAAGGGAGAAAGGGGAGTATTCTCTAAGAGCCTACCACTATTTATAAGATAACTTTACCTCATTTAGCCTTATATAAATCACAGTTATCTACAGTTAAATACACCTTCACATATTTAACCAGCGAGCATTCCTTTTTGGAATGGACACTGAGAGCAAAATAATATACATACTTGTTTCCTAATCAATAAAGGTTGGCAAGAGGACTATTTCAAAAGCTGACTTACTGAAGAGAGAAACTAAACAGAAAAGATTCATTCTTTTGCCCTCCTAAAAGTCGTAAACGTCTCCGCCTAAGGGTAGTGGCCCAAGTTTTGGCATTCACTACTTCCTGACTATTCTGTTTTTCAATTTTCTAATTTGAAAACTAGGAAGAAACTATCTAAATTCAATGGTGAATACCTTGAAAATGCCAAATATTTGAAGAGAAGCTAAATTGACAGTTTACTACCCCCAAATAACTTTTGAAATGGATTACTGGTTCCACCGTGGTTCTTATCTGTGGTGCCTAATGACTTTCCACTTATTTTCACAATCCTGCGACCATCACATCCTACTTCACGAGGATCTCACCACCAAACAGATAATTTCCAATTTAAAATAATGTAACAGTGATTACCATCCTCAAGAATTCCTAATAATTTCTCAAATTATATGGATCTTAGGGTATCAAAGAGAGTTGTATTTTAAAGGATACAAAGTTAACTTCTCACTTCACTATAACAAATTACTTCATTATTAGGGAAAGTATAGGCAATTCTTGATAGACTGAATTAAACTCATGGGTTGAAATACTGTTGTAAATGAACTTTAGGAACAGAGGATTTTTTTGTTACTCTTTTGCCAAAACATACTTTAGAGGAGTTGTTTTTCCCTATTCACTATAGAATAACACACTATTACACAAAACGCTAAGTTTTTATTTCTTCTTGATTCTTGGCCAATTTACTAAGTGAAAAGTTACTTTGCTGACAAAGCAGAAAAAGTTCACACAGATTAAGCTGGAACACTTGCTATAATCAATAACTTGAAAGTAATGATGGAGGACAGAAATAATTAAGGGTTTGTGCAGACACAGAAAGACATTAAGCAGAAGGTCAGGACAACATGTATCCTGGGAAATCAGAGAGCTCACAAGATCATCACAGTGATTTTTTATTAAAAGACCCATGGAATATAAGATTAGAAAAATGCAAGTCAGCTTTTTGTTAAAAAACAAAAAAAAAACCTTCAAAAATCACCAATTACCCAGTATTTGGAAAATCAGTTCTAACAAATGCTACTAAGCAAACATTAGGAAAATGTCATACATGGACCCAAGTATCTTACTACCTCATAGAGGGAGCTACAAAGCAAGATGTCACCCCAGGAAATGCAAACTCTATACACAGTGAAAAATAAAGGGAACCATTGTGGAAAAGAAATTTAAGAGCAATTGCTAATGTGCCTCATAATCTATAGTTTGGGGTTACTACAAGAACGCACAATATTCATGGAGCAAAAAAGGTGGTCTCATTTACAAAATCACTACTGAGAGCCAGCGCTGATGGCCTAGTGGTTAGAAGTTCTGTGTGCTCCACTTCGGAGGCCTGGGGTTCGGTTCCCAGGCACGGAACCACACCACTCATCTGTCAGTAGCCATGCTGTGGCAGTGGCTCACATAGAAGAACCAGAAGGACTTACAACTAGAATAGACAGCTATGTACTGGGGCTTTGGGGAGCAAAACAAAAACAAAACCAAAAAAACCCAAAATCACAATGAGGGAGGAAGCGTGATATTCACTACCTGTAGACACCCAAAGGCCATGAATATATGACATATACAGATATAGGCAGGTAGATATGGAAAAAGGGAAGGTGGTTTACAATATTGAGATCAAATTCCTTGAAGGAAATTCTCAGCTGTCAGCGGAAATCTTCCTGAAGGAAATATTGTAGTGCTACCTCCCGCCAGCACCATCAGAAGTTCAAAGTAAATTAAAACTCTGGGAGCAAAACCTGGAAATCCCTCCACCTGCATCTAAGCAGGGGTTGAAACCATGGATTTGGATTATAATATAACCTAAAAAGCTGTGGACCTTGAAGCTTTCAGTACAATATGGTCCCCAGCACTTCACAGGTGATCAAGGACAACTGTATAAATGCTAATCCCTTACATTTACATACTGCTCTACAGTCTAGAAAGTGCCTTCACTTTTACTCCTCAACAGCAATCTCTTTGGTAGAAGCACAGTACTTTTACTTTCAAGCAGCTTGTAGTTTGTAGTGCACTTTCGCACACTGCGTTATTTTTTACAGAAGAGACCCAAGGAGGTTAAGCCACTCGTCTAAGGACAAGTAGATGGTAGGCGAGGGGCCTAGACAACCGCGGGACTGTCAATTACAGAAACTTCCAACCCTTGAAAGTTCAAAGTCCAACACTCCAGGGGGAGCAGCCTCCTTCAGACATCTACACAGGATAGAAGTGCAGTCTCAGGGGACCATCTCTGGCTCGGTCTCCCTCCCCAAAGACAGGGAAACTGAGGCAGCAGGTAGGGATAAAAACCTGATGGAGAGTCAGCAAGCAGTGTTGGTGGGATGGACCCCCACCCCACCTGCACTAAGCCCAGAAGCAGCTGATTCTGTGTCTGAGACACAGGTCGTTCTCTAGAGAGGGGAAAACCCTTGCCATTCCCGCTTCCTCTCGCTCTTTCCCACCGGAGCTTCCCTACGGATGGGGGTCTTTTCTTCCCAGACCCGCCCAGCCATGCCCTCTCCCCAAGGCCCTTACCCATTTTTCCCATCTGGCCTCCGGAGTAGGAGAATCCGCTAGCTCTGGCTCCCAACTCTGAGCCACTCTCCCTGAGACGTTTGCCGACCCCAAGGTATTTCTGTGTCTCCCCGGGAACGGTCTGCCTCCCACCCGTGCCACCTAAACCTCAAACTCCACAAAAGGAAACCCTCCCAAAGCGTCCTCCCTTCTCCCCCTTCCGCCCTGGGCACCCCAGAGGAGCATCCCTAAACATCAGGAGCCTTCTCGGAGCTACCTGCCTCTCACCTGGGGCCCTGTAGCCGCGGCCTTCTCGGAAGGGCCACCCCCAGGACCCTTCCCTAGTCAAGAACCCTCTAAAAGGGGAACACCCTCTTCCAGGCACCTCTTCAGGCGCCTGCACCGCGGGCCTCGGTGGAGAGCCTCTGGGCTGTGTCCCCGGCTCTGCCCACCGCCACCTCCTCCCGGGTCCCTTCCCGGAGCCTCCCCCGGCCCCAGTCTGGTCTCCCCACCGCAGACTCCGGCGGCTGTTCCCCTCCCTCACGGCCGTCCCCAGCCCTCAGACTCCCCCCGGCTCCGCGTCCCCAGGCGCTTCCCGGAGCAGCGCAGCTGGGCTGCGGCACTGACTTTCTCCAGCTCCTGGGACCACTCGAGGAAGGGGGCGGCGACGGCGGCGGCGACGCGACTCCTTTGTGACAGGTCCGAGAGAGCGGTAAAGATGGACGCGAGGCCACGGCGCTGCCATTACGCGCTGGGCCCACCCCCGCTTCGTACCGCCCCGGCCCTCCCTCAGTCCCCTAGGAAACGCCCCTTCCTCGGTGGCAATCCCTCTCCATGACAGCCAATCACCTTTCAGGAACGCCATCACGTGATCACACGACGTAGCCCGCCCTCCTGGAGCGAGCTGGCCAATCCCCTTGCTGTGGTGTGAATGGCCCAATCAAGTGCCTCCGGCTCGCTGCCTGGGCACCGGATTTCCATCTGTCTCCCGGGGAGGAAGAGAGGTGAGGATTGGGTTACGCCGCCGGAAGTGGGGCGGGACTTTGTTGTGGCGGTGAGGAACAGGAAGCCCTGAAGGGTCAAAAGGAATACAAAAGCAAAGGCTATTTTCTTTTTTTTTTTCCCTTTCTTTTTTTTTTTTCCCTAAAGAGCGAGCGGCCTTTGCGGTGGTGGTTTGGGGTGAGCGCCGCCGAGGTGAGGGGCTCTCGCCTCCCGCGAGCTGGTAGGTGAGTGCGGCCTGAGCCCTGGCCGGGCGGCGAAACCTGGCGCCAGCTTCTGTGCTGAGGAGATGGGGGCTGCGTGCGATGTGAGGGCTGAGGCCAGGCCTCTTCTCAGTCTGCGCGCTCACCCAGGGCTCTGAGCCTCCCAGGCCAAGGTCTTGCGCGCCCAGTCGGAGGGGAAGGCCTCGGGGTCTTGTGGGGAGGATCCCGACCCTCTCAAGCGGTCCTGGCGCTGCAGGGCTTCTTACCGCTCCCCTCCTCTTTTTTTGCTGAGCGGGGCCACGCAGGCTCCCAGTGAGGAGCGGGCTCTATTCCAGAGGTCTTGGACTCCAGGCTACTCAAGAGATGTGGGGGTGCTTGCTTGGAAATGATTGAATGAATCATAGAATGTAAGTGTAGGATGGGAAACTCATTTATTATGTACCAGTTGCTACGCTCCGTGCATTTTCTTGTAATAGGAAACAAACTAGCGTGCTTGTTTTGCAGAAAACTTAGGAAACTAAGACCAAGAGTTGAAGCATCTTGTTTGAGAGTTCGTGGCCCATGTGTATGTCAGTCCGCACGGGAGAAAAGGAGGAGACCTGTTCCTGCTTAGTAGTGGTTCTTGACCTAGTAGAAAACAAATCTTTTGCGGCCCTTTTCAAACGCAGATTCTTGGACCGCCCACCCCCAAATAGTCTGAGTAGGGGCCGAGTGGGGACCCAGGAATCCAATTGCGGGCCTGGTGGTCAGAAGTCCCAGTGACCTCTTCTGTCCCAGCTGTGAGGTGAGATTTGTTGATTCTCCAGCTGTTTGGTTTATTGATGTGTCAATAGGGACCCCATACAAAGGTTTTGAGAGCACTGCTTCTGAAATCCTTGAAAGGAATCAGTCTGTACACTCCTCTTTGATACAAGGAATTGAGCTGAGATAAAGGCAGCTCTTAGAGTCTTTCCAAAAGAGTTTGAGATGAGCTGTGAACACTTTGTAAGGGTCTGAAGGAAGAGGCTGCTAAATTTATCTTTCTCTGCTGAAGTCTGGGTGCCTTTACCTTGTGGGGAATTCTTCGTGGTTGTAAGAAAGGAAGAATTATGTCAAGACCATTACCTGGTTAGCAGTCTTCCCTTTCACCTTCCAGGAATCTTGATGTTTGCTTGGAGTCAAGCTGCTGCTTCAGAAGTTGAAAACCGCATATCTGGTAAATGAAGTAATTTAAGTGCATGGTTCAGCCACAGACTCAATCATAGTGTCATTAGGCCTTTGTGACAGCTAATTTAAGCCATTTCAGTGTGCTCACTGCTGATCATCTTTTGAACATGCTTTGTCTTCATTCTTAAATATGATCTGTTTCGCTCTTTACTATAGGATGTCTTTGAAAGATTGTTCTGTCTTTCTCTTTGGTTTCCTGCATTTTTACAGAATCTATCCAACTACAGATGTTTTTGTTCAGTTTGGTATTTATTAGACTTCTTGAACTTTTGGATTAATGTCTTTCATTAGTTCTGTAAAATTCTGAGCCATTTTATCTTCATATTTTGCTTCTGCCTCATTGTGTATCTTCTTTCCTGATTTAACATAGAACTTTTCACTCTATTCTCTGTCCCTCTGACTCTATTTTTTCATCCTACCTTCTGGATAATTTCTTTTTCATTAATTCTCTAAGTTATTTTTAATCTGTGATTAAACTCATCCATTGACATCTCAGATTCAGTTATTGCACTTTTTAGTTCCTCAAGTTCTATTTAGTTCTTTTTCAAATGTGCTGTGCCACTGTTGTACCGTTTCTTAGTCTCTGCTATTAATTTCGAGGTTTGGTTTTTGTTTCTTTAAACATGGTAAGCATAGTTGTTTTATAATCTGTATGTGTTCTTTCTGCTGTCTGAATTCCCTTTGGGTCTGTTTCTGTTGCCCGTTATTCCTGCTGCTTTTTTCCCCAGTTCTCTTGACCTCGAGGGTGTAGTTCTTTGGGGTACCAGGTTAAGGAGGAGGACCACCTGGTTATCAGACTCCACACCCTGGGGGGGCTCCTGGCTTTGACTTTTGTTTCTGTTGTTTCACAAGGGCACCCACACAGCATCTTTCAGGTTGGCTGTGAGGCTTCATTTCTGGTTTTCACCTTTTCTTGGATCTTGGCCAAATTTTTTTACTATCGTGTTAGCTTTTCTATTTGTTGAAGAATTATTTTTGAGATTTCTTCCAGTTTCTTATCATAGAGGTAGAGGATTGGTCTCAATTACCCAGCCTACTATTTCCGTAACTGAAAGCACCCTTTTGTTTTGATTTTGGAATGTAAAATTTGTGACTTCAGGCACTCTTGAATTAAAGATTATTTTCTTCGTATACCTAAAACTCCCCCCACTTTTCACTGTGATAGCCACTGTCAAAATTAAGCTTCCTTGATGGTTTTTTCTAGTCTTCTTTTTCTTAACTCCTTGGTGCTCAGCTTCTATTCTCTTGTAGCATTTAACCTCATTCTGCTTTTCCTTAAATTGCTCGTGTGCCAACCTTCTCTCTTTTACTTAATGCAGATTCCTCGGTTGCTAAAAACTAGAGTGCCTGTCTTGTGCCTAGCACTGTGCCTTGCACATTGTAGGTCCTCTGTAAGAGTTAATGCAGAAATACAACTGAATGAATTAGTTGGTCTGAATGGTTGGTGTCATGCAAAGCCTTAAAGCCTTTTGTTTTTTAATTTGGTCTTAGAGAGGAGTTACTTAAAGCCTAGAGGGTTGGGGGTAGGGGAGTATAAGTTAGTGCGGGTTAGGTTCCAAAGCCAGTTTAGATGGCAAAGTGGTGTGTAATCAAAGCCACCCTTGAAAATCTTTTAGGGAGCCACCATTCGGATGTGGGTTTACCAATGCAGCAAAATTCCAGCATGGCGAGGTGTTCCTCCAGCTTTGGAACAGATGCTCTTTTTCTTCCTTTGAGCCCCAGATGAAGTAGTTGGTTTGCATTTAGGAGTCACCATGTGTAAAAAATACAACTAGTATTAGAATCACACATGGTGAGGGAAGTGTTTACACTCTGGGAGGCACACATGAAGTAGGGGACTGAGGATTAGCTAAGGGAATCAAAATTTAAGTTCGTTTTCTTCCAGTGCATATAGATGAATTCAAGGTTAATGCACATATGATGAGACTCTTCTTGTGTTATGGAAAGATGTGTATATAGAGATTTTTTGTGTTTTTTTTAACTTTCTGTTGTATGGTTTGGGATGTCTAGACAATCAGAAGGTTACTACCAATTGCTTTTTATAATAAACATTTAAAATGTGGATAAAATTGCTTATACAGTACCCACATTTTTAGATTCTTTTAGTCTCCTTTGCTACTGGAGTCTGTTAATAAGCTCAGTGTTAGAAGTCTGAGGATTCCTTTGTCTGGTAGTAAATGCTCAAAGAGTGTTCTCTGTTGGTGGTTGTCATTCTCTGAAGTTTTATAATATAAGGGAAGTTGGCTTGATCTAAATTGCTGTAGCTTGGGAGAAGTGCCTTCTGGCCAGAAAGCAGTCTTCGGAATATAGTTGAGTTTGCCAGATGGCAGATTCCTCTTAGTTGCTGTCCTGCATTTAGAAATTCCATGTGACTTGAACATCAGGGTAAAAATGTTAGATTTACTGACGAAAGGAAAGTGAATTGGCCTATTTTGGCTACCCACAGAGAAGTCTTCGAACACCATAACACAGAGATTTGATACGGCGCACCCCTCCCACCCCGCGTTTTTACACGTCTAGTCTTTCTAACGTTAGCGTTAGGAGGGTGCGGAAGCCAGTGATGTAAAGACTCAAGTAGTCTGCCATCACAAAATTCAGTTCTACAGGAAACCAGATCTCACGAGCTTGGATCATGGCACTAGCGAAATGGAATAATTTTCAAGTCAGTGATAGCAATGATCGTGGGGGCAGCAATGTAGGTCTTGTATCTTAAAACTTGTGCAGCGTGCTACGTAAGACACTGAGTCCTTTTTGTCCCATCAGCCGGGACATCAGATAGCACAGTCTCCCGTACAAACACAGTAGTGCAGTGTTTAACGGTTACTCTGGCTTGAAATAGAAGAACTTTGTTTTTTTGTCTGTCAAGCAAATTTGAGAACTGTGTTCTTTGTGTCAGTTTGAAACTTTTAAGTTTGGACCAAGTGATTTTGGTAAGGTTTTAGTTTTTTTCATGAAGTCCCTGTTTGGAGAACTTAAATAATTCTTTTTAAAGTAATTGTAATGTTTAGTTTGATAATTAAGTTTGTCACCTTGAAAAAAAAGCTATGTGAGTGAAGGAAAATTGACAGCAGTTTTTCTAAGATTGAACACAGTAAGGACAAAGTAAGCATTGCCAATGTAACTCTGTTTCATTCCTACTTGAGTCTTTATGCTTAGGTCATCAGACCCCTGGGCTTTTGTTTGTTTTTTGTTTTGTTTTTAATTATTCTAGCAAATGAAGGGAGAAAATAAGAGACTTAAAATTTAGCTAGGCAATAGGAATTAGAAATAAACACAGTTTAATTTCCGGTTTCTGTGTGTACTTCCAGAAGGTAAATAAGTTGCAGGTACTCATCCCCTCCCTGTTGCAAAATAGTCAGTGAATATTGGCCTCTTAAAAGAAAAATGCCGTGTGCAGGAAATATTTATTACTCAGTATAAGAGAGCTTTTTTAGTCAGTTGAAATTAAAGGAAAGTAGCAAGAGTTATTTTTGAAGAAGACATCAATTATATAATAAAGTGATTTAATTTTTGGTCCTGTGTTTCCTACTGCACAAATTTTATGGTGTTTGAGTCGAGTTCCCTGTGGGACATAGAAGCTTCAGCAGATGCTTGTATAATGCCTGCCATTCTCTCTAACTTAGACTGGACAATACCTAGGAATGTTCCTGTGAGAGCGTGCCTCCCTGTTTAAATTTTTCAAATCCTCTTCATGGTTGGTTTATTCAGTAAGTATTTATTCATACCTGATATATGCCAGACACCGTGCTAATAAGCACTGAGGCTCAGAGAGCTGTTGAAACAGTCATAAATGATAAAACACGATGGCTAAGTGCTACAGTAGGGTTATAAATGGGTGTAGTGGAGGCTAGAGTAGAAACAGGAGACTAATGGAATGCTGTTGCAGTAGTCCTTGTAAGATGGGGCCCTGAAAAGAAGAGGTTAGAAAGCAAAGGACTCTTCTCTTTGGAAAAAAAAATAAAAGAGAGAGAGTGGATTAAAAAGAGGACATTATGAGGTAGAGACAGAACTTGGTGACCGGTGGGATGTAAGGGAGGGAGGAAAAAGGAGTCTGGGTGTGTCCAGGTTTTCAGCCCGGGAAACTGGATTGATCGTGTTTATGCCCTTCGTTCCTGTCTTCTACCTGTACTATTCACTTTGGTAGTTCATTATATACACTATTACCTGGTATTAACTAGTGCAAGAGTGCTAACTCTTAAAGTTTATTTCCTTTATGCACCTCGTCGAATTTGGCACAGTGCTGGACAAGAGTTCGGCGTTGAGCACAATGTTGAGTTTATTTAAATCGAATTACTAATAAAGTAAAACAGAAAAATAGAGAACCACAGTAAAGGGAAAAGAGAGACTCACCAGATTATGTATACGTGTAAGTTGTTCCTGATTTCTCTCAGCTTGATGTGATCCCTTTCCCACCTGGAGTTTCCTGGTGGTTTACGTCACTGATCTCTCTCCCCGCTCCTTAAGTGCCCACGGTGCTTCTCCCCCTCCTAACCAGTCCAGAGCTGAGCACAGTGCTTTGTAGTAATGGCAGACCTTTTGACGCCTGTTTAAGCCTGTGCCCAGCTCTGTGCTGAGTGCTTTATGTGGACTATCTTCTCTTCACAGAAGCTTTGTGTTGGGCAGTACTGTTTGAATCCCCGTTGGTGAGTGCAGTCTGTGCAGGAGGAAACCAAGGCTCAGAGGAGTTAAGTAACTTGTCCAGGGTCGTACAACTTGTAAGTGACAGAATTGAGGGCTCTGGATTTCAGACAGTCTGTACTCTTTGCCATTGCCTGTACTCCCTCTTAGTAAGGAGACTGCAACAGAAGATGCTTACCATGTACTGATTGAATTAGCCTAGGTCGTACGGTAGTCCCCCTTTACCTGTGGTTTTACTGTCCTCAGTTTCAGTTTCTCATAGTCAACCAAGGTCCAAAAATATTAAATGGAAAATTCCAGAAATAAACAGTCCGTAAGTTTTAAATTGTGCACCAATCTGAGTGGCGTGATGAACTCTCCAGTCAGTCCCTCTCCGTCCTGCCCAGGACATGACTCATCCCTTTGTCCAGTTTATCCCTGCTGTATACGTTACCTGTTGTTAGTCGCTTAGTAGCCATCTTGGTTATCAGATTTACTGTCACAGTGTCGCAGCGCTTGAGTTCAAGTAACCCTTATTTTACTTAGTAGTGGCCCCCGGAGTGCAAAAGTAGTGATACTGGCAGTTCCGATACACCAAAGAGAAGCTGTAAAGTGTTTCCTTTAAGTGAAAAGGTGAAAGTTCTCAAGGAAAGAAAAAAAAATCATATGCTGAGGTTGCTAAGATCTATGGTAACTTTTATTACAGTATATTGTTATTATTCTATTATTAGTTATTGTTGTTAATCTCTTACTGTACCTAATTTATAAATTAAACTTTATCATGTGTATGTACATATAGGAAAAAACAGTATATATAGGGTTGGGACTACCTGCGATTTCAGGCATCCACTGGGGGTCTTGAAACATATCCCCTGCAGGTCAGAGGGGACCCCTGGAGTGAAAGGTGTCAGAAATTAAGCTTACAGCTTGGCAATATTTATTGACGGTGAAGCTCTGAATCCTGAAAAGACCTGAATATTTCTGGAGAAGGAATATTCTGATATTATCCAGATTACTCAGGAGTATGGCCACTTGTTCATAAGCATTTTCTGTCCCTATCTTGGACCTCTCCTAACATAGAAAAACGACCAAATTTTAATTAGCTGGAGATCCACTGGTGGCATTGAGGCAAGTAGGGTACAGCAACAGTAGAAGTGCCAGGGAATGAGGACCTAGAGAAAATGTGCAAATTGAAGAAAGAGATGGATAAGGGCCAGCTGGTGGCACAGTGGTTAAGTTTGCACATTCTGCTTCGGTGGCCCAGTATTGGCCGGTTCGGATCCTGGGTGCGGATGTAGGCACTGCTTGTCGAGCCATGCTGTGGCAGGTGTCCCACATATAAAGCAGAGGAAGATGGACACAGATGTTAGCTCAGGGCCAGTCTTCCTCAGCAAAAAGAGGAGGATTGGCGGCAGATGTTGGCTCAGGACTAATCTTCCTCAAAAAAAAAAAAAGATAAAGCAGTCTGTGTTCCTTTTAAACTCACAAAAATTTATTGTAATTAGTTGTGGCCACCTAGCTTGTTTTATTTTACTTATCTTGGGATCAAAGGAATGTCAGGATTATAATATTAGCTTTAAAGAGCAGACTTTTATAAATGCTCATTAGTTTTGACTGTGTGATTGTGTTTGCAGGAAACTAACCCACTAGAGAAGTAGTGTTTCTCTGTCAAATTCTAAAACCATTGTCTTTAAATTTCCTTTTTTAAATGTGCTTCTGCTATATTTTCATTTTCATTAACCAACGGTGACTCCTGGTTATGTCCCTATTTGTGAAAGATGGTTAATAGCCAGACTAAACTCTTTGAGTAGAAGTTGAATCCTGACGCTTAAGAGAAAAAGATTAATGGAAAAGAGAGTAAGGATGTCTTGGAATCCCATAAATTTGTCTTTTCCCAAAAGTGATTGATAAGTATTGGCAAGATTCTTATTTTTCTGATGTTTCCAGTCCACAGTCAAACCCTTGTTTACATGCATCCCGAAGGCTTTGTCCCTTGAGTTTCAGGGATCTTTGGTAAAGGTAAATGAAGGTGGCTTCTTCTTTTTCCAAAAGCTCAACAGGCCATCAAAATTAAATAAGTGATTTTACTTTCTTAATTTTGAGTTGTAAGAATAAACCTTAGAGTCTCTGAATTCTTATTTAGATGGAAGCATGTAAGGTCCTAGGTTTTTATTTTGGCTTATTGGAAGATTTTTTTTCAATATTAATATATATTCATTTCAAAAAATATATAATGAGGGGCCAGCCTGGTGACGTAGCAGTTAAGTTTGTGTGCTCTGCTTTGGCAGCCCGGGGTTTGCCAGTTCGGATCCCAGGTGTGGACCTATGCACCGCTTATCAGGCCACACTGTGGCAGGCGTCCCACATGTAGAGGAAGATGGGCACGGATGTTAGCTCAGGACCAATCTTCCTCAGCAAAAAAAAAAGAGGATTGGCGGTGGATGTTAGCTCAGGGCTAATCTTCCTTAAAAAAAAATTATATATATATAATGAGAGTGAAGAGATACATTTAATGGAATTCCAGTGGCATTGCCATATTCTAATATTTGTTTCCAAGTTTTAAATCATATGCAGTCTTATAAGTTCACTGCTTTGAGACACTTATTTTTCTCCATTTTATAAGATTAAAGGTACTACGGATGTTTGGCCCAGAAAAGCGACAGATTAGGGGGAACATGGGAGTTGTCTGCAAATGGCTGAAGCATTGTCCTGTTGAAAAAAGGATTTGGCTCCTTTTGTGTAGTCCCAGTGGATTGAACCTGCGTGTTTAATTTGTAGGGAGCCAGGTTTCAGTTCAGGGTAAGGAAGAACTGTCCTACCCGTCAGGTCTGCGCAGAGAGGGAGTCTGCTGCCTGGGAGGGAGTGCAGTGGTCCGTCTTGAAGTTCTGACATGTGGGTTGGATGAAGATCTCCCAGTCTGTGTGGTGGATTCAGATGCGGGATGGAGAACCACGTTAGCTGGGCCCTGAGGAGTGTGCCCGAGGCGTGTCGCTGCCCTGCTGTGCAGACTAGACTCCGTCTCTAAGGTTCCTTGGATACGTGAGTCTCTTCCTTCTGAATCTGCTTGGAAACAAGAACAGGTGAGTGGAGGTAGGATCTTGTCCCTGAAACGGGAATTTCAAGAAGGAACAATGTCAGATGTTACAGAAATAAAGGAGGATGAGAACTGGGAAAAAGTTAGGGTGCCCAGGAGGCCAGTTTGTCTAGACCAGAGGGACAGAGAAACGTCGACAATGTGAGGTTTACCATGGAGCAGCATGTGCTGAGAATCATTCCAGGTGCTCTCGCTGACCGGGTAGATATCATAGCTGTTAATAGAACTGCCCGATACACCAGGAACAATGTAATTGTGCTTTCGTCAGTGACCTTTAAATTCAACTACCTGAGGATTTCTTCGTTTCAAAACCGAAGGGAATTTTGTGGTAGTCTGTTGCTGGGTGAGACAGAACTAACTCTTCTTGTTTCTCTTTAGAGTTTTAATTGCAGTTCTCACTTGAAATGGTTTGTGTTTTGTAGACTGATTATTCCATTATGGATGGAGGGGATGATGGTAACCTTGTTATCAAAAAGAGGTTTGTGTCCGAGGCAGAACTAGATGAGCGGCGCAAAAGGAGGCAAGAGGAATGGGAGAAAGTTCGGAAACCTGAAGATCCGGAAGGTATGTAGGCTTATGGTATGGTCTTCAACGTCGTGATCTTTAATCCTGGCCACAGCCCTGCAAAGTAGGGATTACTGTCTTCGTTTAGAGTAGACGAACTGAGGCTCAGGGGTGAAGGCCCCGAGGGAAGGCCTCCATGCTGGGAGCAGACACAGGCTACTCACGTCCTTGCCCTTCCCACTCTACCACACTGTTTTCCAGGAGATTCTGCTAGTCTGTTGCATCTATACAGGTGGATCCAGGATCTGAACAACTGAGTACGCTGCCCTGCTGCCGCTGTGTGTGGTTTGGGCTGACCCCTCATCCAGTAGCTGTCTCAGGCCGTTGGCCCTGCTGACACTGGCTTTGAGAACTGCTGGCTCCTCTCTGAGGTCCAAAGGGAAGCTGTGGACTTTGTACTATTTTTGTGTTATTCTTGCCCTCAGGTCATGCTGAGACTTGACTTTATCTTTAAAATGCTTTGTGATTCTAAAATAATATGAAAGAATTCTAAAGTATGTATTTTTTCCCCACCTCTCTTTTTCTCTCCCCCTTTCTCTCCCCTCTTCTTTTCAGAGTGTCCAGAGGAGGCTTATGACCCTCGGTCTCTGTATGAAAGGCTCCAGGAGCAGAAAGACAGGAAGCAGCAGGAGTACGAGGAGCAGTTCAAATTCAGTAAGCTTCCAGAAGCAGAGGCCGGGGCGCCCGGCAGGGCCTTTCGGATGCCCTGTGCCTCATGCCACACTTTTCTAGCTAGCCGTGGAATTGTCTGGATTATCTAGTCTCCAGATGCTCATTTGGTTTGAAAAAGAGACAAACTTTTGCCTTCTAAACCACACTGAACATTTTTGTTTAGAGCTCAAGATACCCATTTTAATTCTGTGCTAATATCTAGTAATGGGAGAAATGCCTTGATTTTATGCCATGTTCTCTCTCCAAAAGCCATGGTGTTTACTTTCTTCTAAGCCCCTAAAGGATCTGTTGTTTATTCAGAAAAGGAAAAGGAAAAATCTTATTTGACTATATTTTCCCTTTAGCCTGCTAAGTGTTGCTCGTTTAATTATTTCCTCAGAGAACATGGTAAGAGGCTTAGACGAAGATGAGACCAACTTCCTTGACGAGGTTTCTCGGCAGCAGGAACTAATAGAAAAGCAACGAAGAGAAGAAGAACTGAAGGAACTGAAGGAATACAGAATATCCTTTGTACTTGGAGAGCAGTCTGGAAGGTGTCAGTTCTCTCATCAACATCTACGGAGTTTAGTTTCTTCATAAATACAATGAGGGTCTTCTCCCTGGTGATCTCTGAGGTCCCTTTCGACGCTGATGTCCCTGTGACTGAGCAACTGGCAGTTGTTTGTGGTTGTTCTGCGTGCAGGAGTCTGTTGCAATCAAAGGTCCAGATCCTTTAGGATTAACTAAAGGCCTAAATGCTAATAGTCAGTACCAGGGTATCCTCGCCTTGTGGGATTAGACTCTGAGACAGATGGGTGATGCAGTGAACTTCATCCAGGGGAGAAACTGGCTTCTGAGTTTTAAAAGGAAATGTTTAGCAGCTCTCCTCTGTCCTTAGTAAGACCTTTCCCACAGGTACTGCTTGGTCTGGCCCCAGAGGGACAGAGAAGGCAACAAAGATGACTTTGCTTCGGCTCAGTATTGCCTTTTTGGCATCCGTTTGACCTTCTTAATAGGCATCCCAGCTGTAACTTGGCTGAAGCAGAATTCTCAATTCCATGCCTCGCTATCCCCACCCTCATCACACTCCCCCCCCCCCCATCTCTTCTTTTTCTGGCCTCCCAGTCTTCCTAACTGGTACTCCTATACCCCAGGTGCCTGGGCCAAAAACTACCTCCAAAATGTGCTCCAAGTCCGCCCGATTCTTGCCATCTCTGCTGCCACTGCAGTAGTCATAGACTTTTCTCCGGATTACTGGGATTATCTAATTAGCCTCTGCTTCTGCCCTCGTCCCCCACAGTCCATTCTCCAGACGACAGTCAAAGGGAGCTTTTGAAAACACACATGGGATCATGTCACGTTCCTGTTGGAAACACTAGTGGCTTTCTATTGCGTTTAGGCTGCAGTCGACATTCTTTGCCAGGCCCTGCAAGGCTCTGCATGATTTAAGCCACCCAACCTCCCTGTTAGATCTTGAATTCATTCTTCCTCATGTTCATTGTCCTGCAGCCTCCTGGCCTTCTTCACCTTCCCGTCTCACCAGGCTTTGTGACTCCGTCTCAAGGCCTTTGTATTTGCTGTGTACTTGGCCTGGAATGCTCTGCCCTCAGATTTGACAAGGCTGGCATTTCATGGCACTTGGGTCTCAGTTCACATCTCCCTTCTTTTATTTTTTTTTTTAAAGATTTTATTTTTCCTGTTTCTCCCCAAAGCTCCCTGGTACGTAGTTGTATATTTTTTAGTTGAGGATCCTTCTGGTTGTGGCATGTGGGGCGCCGCCTCAGCATGGCTTGATGAGCGGTGCCATGTCCCCGCCTAGGATCCAAACTGGTGAAACCCTGGGCCAGCGAAGCGGAGCACACAAACTTAACCACGTGGCTATGGGGCCGGCCCTCACATCTCCCTTCTTTGTAGAGACTTTTCCTAAGCACCCCGTATAAAATTGGCACCCATCTCCATCACAGTCTATGGTGTCATTTTTCTATAGGTCTTGTCACTACTTGAAAATCTTAATTTATTAGCTTACTGGTTTGTTTGCCTCTTTGCTGCTGGAATGTAAAGTAAGCTCCATAAGAACAAGGATGTCGCCATCACTGATTTCCCCAGTGCTGGGCATGTAGTGGGTTCTCAGTATATATGTGAATAAATTAATGAGTGACTCATAGGAGAGGTTAATAAAGCTACTCCAGCCTTTTTCCTCTTATGAGAAGGCTTGTTTAAATATGATAAGCTTATATGTTGAATAACCTCACTAGTGTGATTGAACAGGCTTCACCTCTAAGATTAATGGTACGACTCTGCGTGTATGTACTAGTTGGTATTTTTTGCAGGGAGTATGCAGTAGGTTCCACTGAAGAGTCGTGTGGGGAAAGTGTGGATAGATTTCCAGGGACGTGGTTTAAATCAAGGTGACTGATGGTGAATAAGGTAAGATGGAGCATGGTATCACAAAACCTGCTCTCAACTGGTAGCAGAAGACCTGGCTTCCAGTCCCCGTTCTCCTAGTGCCTTTCTGCTGCAACATTAGGAGAGGAGTTGATAGAAAGTGACACCTCAGTCCCAACCACAGGATTCTGAAGCTCCCCTCCCCTGCTCCCTTCCCTGCTGACCCCAGCACAGTGTTAGGCATGGTGTTTGCAGAGACGGGCAGATGGATGTATTGCATTATTTCAGGCACCAGGGTTTTTCCTTTAAGGAAATACGTTAATTACACTTCTCACTTGAATTTCGTCTTGTTCTGTGTGCTTAATTTGGCAGGCTCGCCAATGAGACAGAGTGTCTCCGAGAGCAGCCTTCTGGAGCGTAGTGTTGGTTTGGTGTGCGTGGGGCACGCACTTGGTTTGCAGTTCAAAGGGGAGAACGGACAGGGCAGCGCAGAGGCGAGGGAAGCTTTCTGTCCTGGGAACAGTACAGTGTAACTTTGAAGAGGCTCATTGGAAACTTGGAAAGTTCTGACTGTCTAGAAAAACTGAAGAAAAGCAAGCCTTCTTCCTCCCCGCTGATGTAGACTGTGCTAACCCGAGCATGCGTGTGGCCGGAGACTGGAGAGGGGGATGGAGGGGTTAGACGTTTGTTTATTGAAGCTCCAAATCAGGAGCTGGTTCTTGGCTTTGCTTGATTGTTATAATGCGATACATTTTCCATTGTGATACTTATGGATACAAATAAGCTGTGGTTTGGGCCATAATAAACAACAGAACTCTTGTTTTATTCACGTTAAACCAGTATTTAGCAATATTATGTGTATTAAAAACTACTGATTTGGGGGGCCAGCCCAGTAGCACAGTGGTTAAGTTTGCACGTTCTGCTTTCGTGGCCTGGCATTCGCCGGTTGGGATCCTGGCCACGGACCTATGCACTGCTTCTCAAGCCACCCTGTGGCAGACATCCCACATGGAAAGTAGAGGAAGATGGGCACAGTGTTAGCTCAGGGCCAATGGTCCTCAGCAAAAACGAGGAGGATTGGCAGATGTTAGCTCAGGGCTAATCTTCCTCAAAAAAAGAAGAGATGGGAGAAAACAAAAAACTAATTTTTAAAAATCCCTCATTTAATGAATGCCTTGAGATTTTTGATGTATGTTTGTATATTTAAAGCATTTTAGGGGGAGAGGGACTTAAGGGGAAAAATTGCTTATGCTTTGGATATGGATCAAAAATAATAATATTACCACTCCCACCCTCAAGAAGAAAAGGTTGGGGGCTTTTCCTCACTTTAAAAGAATAAAAAGTTAAATGTTGGTTTTGCCTGTGTCCTGGTGTTAAAAATACGTGTGTGCTTTTGTTGTGTTAATTTTTTCCATTTTTGTTTTATTTTTCAATATTTACTATTAGGAATTTTCTTTGAGAGTTTTTATCCCTTAATGATGGAGTTGCAGATAAAAGTCACAGCATGCTCATTGTTTTTGGCCTTCTGTACGAGAAAGATGAAATCTGTTTCTTTCATTTTTATTCTAAAAAAGGAACATTTAGTATTAACATTATCTGTTTCCCATCATGGCCTTACAAACATTAAATTGGAAACTCAGAATAGTACTGAGCATTGTGCATAGTGTCCATTGAATATTGTGAATGTTTAAGGTAATTGGTGCCCATAAGAACCACGTTACTGCCTGAAGAGTGGTCAGGATTAGAATTTCCTTATTTCTGGTACGCAGTTTTGTCCATTGTTCAGAGAAACATGAATAAATAGCTTAGACCATGTACCCCCGCCTCCTTGGGCTGTAGTTACATGCTGCTTAGATTTCCTGGGCGCTAGATGTCACTATTGTTCCAGAAAGGCACTGCTGTATCTTAAATAAGGAATTGTACCATGTCTGAATACTTGTCTGTTGCCTAGTAGGTTGTGAGAGAGAATGAAAGGGAAGGAGGGGAGGAGACTGGTGGAGAGAAACAAAGAAAGTGACAAACTTCAGGAGCCAGAGATGGACGTCAAGCGCGAGAAAGGGCTGTGATGAGTGAACTGGTTACGCTTTTAAAACAGCTTTTTGGTTCCTGTGTTGTCTACGCACAGGGGTTTCTCACTAAAATCACCTTGAGAGAGTGTGGGAAACAGGGTCCTGGGCTCTGGAGGTCCTCATTCAGTAGGTTTGGGACAGGGGAGGGACATTGTTTTTTAATGAGCCTTAGGGTGATTGTGAGGTTGTCTTGTAGCCACAAGAGTAGGGTTAGTTTCTGTGATGTCTAAGACTGAATGCTGTTGATAGTCATAGGGCATTCTGCAAAAATTTGATTTTAACTTAAGGGGGAAAAAATGAACTTTTTTTTTCGATTATCTTTCAAAGATTTCATTTTTATTTTTCCTTTTTCTCCCAAAGCGCCCTGGTACGTAGTTGTGTATTTTTTTAGTTATGGGTCCTTCTAGCTGTGGGCATGTGGGATACCGCCTCAGCATGGCTTGATGAGTGGTAATGTCTGCACCCAGGATCCCAACTGGCGAAACTCTGGGCCACCAAAGCGGAGCACGCGAACTTAACCACTTGGCCACGGGGCTGGCTCCCTAAAAGCGAACATTTTTATATTTTCAGGGAAGCCACATTTTCTTCTATTGTATTTATATTCCTTAAGATCTTGGTTTTTCCCAGCAAGCGTGATACTGACCATGTGTTTGTTGGAGGCAGGTTTTCTGTCTGTACTCAGATTTTCATTGAGAATCAGAGAGAAAAAGTTTGCTTCTCTGTATTATTTTGAGCTTAATTTGCCATCTTTCTTTGTGGTCACCTTCATTTCTCTTTAAATCAGCTGACTCAACTGGCAGAATAAAGAGGGGAGGGCATTTTTTAATTAAGTAGGCTAAACCTTACGTGGCAGAGCTGAAGTGCTGGTAGATTCTCTTTGTCTTCCTTCTCTTGGTTTACTGTTGTCCTGCCATAGCTCTTTTTGCTTAGTTTGACCCTTAACCTGTAACTCACAGTAATCTCAACAAGGTTGGAATTTCTTCAGAAAACAAGAAGGAAGTGGAGAAGAAAGTGGCTGTGAAACCCATGGAAACCAGGAACAAGTTCTCCCAGGCTAAGCTGTTGGCAGGAGCTGTGAAGCATAAGAGGTCAGCCAGCGCTCACCCTGAAATCCCCCTCTGACCGCGTCCTCTGAAGAGCCGCCTGTAATGTAGCCAGAGCAAAACGGGCTAAGCAGGAGTCTCGGGGAGCTTCCCTTGCTAGCCTTTCCTCTCTCCCCTTCCCAGTTTGCTGTCTTCTGTGTAGCTGTCCACCCTTGTCTCTGATTGTTCATTCGACATACAGTAGCTCCTCCTCCCTGGGCACCTGCCGTGTGCCAGGCATGGTGTTAATGCTCTACATGCACGAGCTCGTTGATTCCTCTCAACAAGTCTGTGAAGTATAAGTTATCATGAGACGAGGAGACCAAGAATTTGGGAGGTTGAGAACATCTGTCCAAGGTCACAAAGTAATAGGAGAGGTGGAGTTCAATGTTTGAGCATCCGTGTTGCTAGGTAAATGAGGTAGCAGGTTCTATGACAGGATTTGCCTAGGGTGTAATGAGAGCAGGGACGAGGAAACACAGGGGTATGTGTGCTCACGCTAGGCAAGTGAGGGAAGGCATTGCAAAGGAGAGGCTGATTAGGTAGGGCGACCAGGGCTTTGACAGGCAGACAGGAGAGAGGGGAACAGCCCAGGCAGGGGGAACAGCTGCTGCAAAGGCTTGCGGCCTGGAAGAACACGGCGGCCGTGACAGGGTTACCGACCTGCTGCTGGCACTCTGCTTGATTGATGTGGGGTGGCAGCCCTGCTGAGAGGTTTTGATAAGTTCTTTGTTTGGTTTGCTCCTCCCTTTCCAAATCCTGAAATGGCACCAGAGTGATTAAAACCTGGTCATTTCAATTTGCCCGACCAGACCACGGGCCAGACGGCCTTACGTTTAAGTGCAGTCCATTAGGATAATCAGTATAGTATGTCAGCAGCCAGCCATGCGTTTTGAAGGGAGTGTGTTGATGCAGTCTGTGGTTTGGCACACCATCCCTCTGCTGCAGATGCTCCTAGGAACAGTGCCTCCGTGTAAAAATGTCAGCGTGGTAGAGCAGCAAAAGGGAGGAGCAGCAGGAGGCTGAAAAGCCCCACGAATTATTCCTTTCAAGTCTTGACAGCAGCTTTCATGCCTGGCCCAGTGTCTTTCAGGGTTTGGACCTGGGTCCGTTTCACTGAACAAGCACTGTGGACCCAGCACCCAACTTAAGACCTAGAAGATCATCAACAGTATTGAGTCTCGCTCTGCGCTCCTCCCATTCCATCTCCCTGCCTTGCCATCCCCACACAGTACTTTCTCCAGTCTGGCTTATCGTACTTTTACCTTTATTTACTTTTAGTAATTTGGAGTATTTTTTGGCTACCTATATAGGTATCTCTAAACAATATAATAACTCACTTGTTTTTGAACTTTATGAAAATGATTTCATTATATGTACAGCCTGCTGTGAATTTGTTTTTTCACTCAAATTGTTTCAGTAATTGGAACCATTTTGTGTGTGTATGCATATATGCACAGCTGTAATTCGTTCATTTTCACTGCTGTGTAATATGCATTATATGAGATTCCAAAATTTGTCATTCTCCTGTGGATGAGTATTTGAACTATGATGAATAGTGCTGATAGGTCTAAGACGTATGTTTTGTTACATATATGCATATGTTTCTCGGGTTGTGCCATCCAGTACCGTAACCACCGGCCGCCTGTGGCTATCTAAATTTAAATTAATTAACACTATTTAAATCCAGTTCTTTAGCCACACTAGTCACATTTCAAGTGCTCAATAGCCGTATGTGGCTAGTTGCTGCTGTACTGGGCAGCACAGATACAGTGATACAGTGGCTTTATAAAATAATACCTCCGGGTGGTCTCAGTTTGCATTTCCCTGTTAATGACTGTAGTTGACATATTGCATATGTTGATTTGCCATTCATGTGTCCTATTAATGTGAGAGGTCTTTTCATTTAGTTTCTCATTTTTCTGCTGGGTTATTTATATTTTCCTTATTGATTCATAGTTTTTTTTTTTTTTAATATAGTCCTGATATTTTTTTTCTCAGTTCATAGCTTTTTACTTTTATTAATTTATTTTAAGGTGGTCAGTTTTTTTAAATTGAGATATAATTGACATATAACATTACATTAGTTTCAAGTATACAACATAATGAGTTGATATTTACATGTATTGTGAAATGATCACCACGGTAAGTCTAGTCAACATCCATCACCACACATGGTTACAAATGTGTTCTTCTTGTGATGAGAACTTCTAAGAGCTACTCTCTTGGCAACTTTCAAATAAAGAGTACAGTATTGTTCGCTGTAGTCACCATGCTGTACATCACATCCCCAGGACTTATTGATTTTATAACTGGAAGTTTGTACCTTTTGAAGGTGGACAATTTTAAGGTGGTCAGATACATCAATATTTTCTTTTATAGTTAGAGCATTTTATGTTTTGTTCAAGAAATCCTTCCTACCCTGAGCTCGTAAGATAGTTTTCTTCTAAAAATTTTAGAGCTTTGTCTTTCACATGTTAGTCTTTAATATATCAGGAATCGATTTTTATGAAGGGTAGGAGGTAGGGTCTCATTTCAGTTTTTTCCTTCAAATGAAAAGCCAATTTTCTAGCATCATTTACTAGGTGCACTGCCTTTCCGCAGTGATCTTCAGTGTGACCTCTGTCTTATAACAAGTCTCCACACGTGTGGGTTTGTCTGGGGGTTCTTTTTTCCTGTCCCTTGGGTCTGTTGGGCCAGTTCCACCCTGTGTAATTACTGTAGCTTTACAATAGATTTTGCTGTCTGGGAGGGCAAGTCCCCTTACGTTCTTCTCAAGGATGTCTCGTCTGTTCCTGACTACTTTGTTCTTCCACATCAATTTCAGATCTAGTTAAAGTTCTTTAAAAATCCCTATTGAGATTTTTATTGGAACGTTGTTAAATTGCTTGATAAATTTATAGAGAACAGATCTTTATGGATTTGAGTCTTTGTCCATGGCATATATCTACGTTTGTTTCCTTTAATGTCGTTTAATAAAATCTTAAAGTTTTCTTTTTCAAAAAGGTTGTGGACAGGGCCCGGCCCAGTGGCACAGCAGTTAAGTTCACACGCTCCGCTTCTCAGTGGCCCGGGGTACGCCGGTTTGGATCCCGGGTGTGGACATGGCACCGCTTGGCACGCCATGCTGTGGTTGGCGTCCCACATATAAAGTAGAGGAAGATGGGCACAGATGTTAGCAGGGCCAGGCTTCCTCAGCAAAAAGAGGAGGACTGGGACTGGCAGTAGTTAGCTCAGGGCTAATCTTCCTCAAAAAAAAAAAAAGTTGTGGACATATTTTGTTAGATTTATTCCTAAGTATTTTATATTTTTTTTGTGGCTGGTATGTAAACGTGCAGTTGATTTTGTAGTATTTACGTGCAGCCACCCAGCTCTTATTAACGTTACTAGAACTGTTTAGTAACTTTTATTAATGTTAACAATTTGTCAGTGGATTCTTTTGAAATTTTTATGTAGAGAGTTACCATCTGTGAATAATGGCAGTCTTTTTCTCTTCTTTATACCTTTTAATTCCTTTTTCTTGTCTTATTGCACTGGCTAGGACCACCAGTAAAATGTTAGATAAAAACAGTTACTGTACGCATCCTTGTTTTATCTCTAAACAGAATGTTTATAACTTTTTCCCCATTAAGAACAGTATTTATCATTTTTGTTTTTTCAGATATCCTTCAGCAGGTTAAGGAAGTTCTGATCTTAGTTTGCTAAGAGGTTTTTTATAGCCGTGAACTATAAAATTTTGTCAGTTTTTTTCCTGCTTTTGAATTGATAAAATCAATTTTTCTTCTTTGCTCTGTTAGGGTGAAAAATTAAATTCATAAATTTTCCTAATGTTGCATTCCTGTGAGAAACCTGGGCTGGCAGTGATGTATTATCATTATTAACTTTGCCGGATTTGCTCTACTAGTATTTTGTATAGGTTGTTGCATCTATGTTCTTGAGTGAGACCGTCCTGTATTTTTTTTCCTGCTTTATCTGATTTTAGTGTGAAGACTAAAACTAGCTTCACAGAATGATTTAGGGAGTGGTCCCTCCTTTTGTGTCCCCTCGAGGAGTTTGTATGAGATGATGGTGTCCTGTTCTGTGAACGTTTGGTGGAACTCCTCTGTAAAATCGTTTTGGTCCCTCTTTTTTTTATTTGTTATACAAGACTATTTAAATTTCTCCATATCTTCTTGAGTCAGTTTTATTTAGTTATATTTTCTGGGAATTTGCCCGTTTTGTTTTGTTTCAAATGCATTCACTAAAGTTGTTAATGTTCTTTATTTTTCTGATTGCTGCTCTATCTGTAGTTGTCCCCTTTTTCATCCCAAATATTGATGATTTGTTCGTTTATTCTTCTTTTGACTAGTTTCATGAGAGGTAGTCTCTGTTTTATTAGTCTTTTCAAAGATTCTTTTGAATTTACTTCTCTCTATTTTTTGTATTTCATTAGTTACTGCTCTTTAATGTCTCATACCTCTTTTCCTTGAAATATTCTTTGCTTTCTTCAAGTTTATTCTTTTTTTTTTTTTCCCTGCTTTTTTCTCCCCAAATCCCCCCAGTACGTAGTTATATATTTTAGTTATGGGTCTTTCCAGTTGTGGCAGGTTTATTCTTTTGTTATTTCTGTTGTAAACAACTGTCAGGGAGCTAGCTAATTAATTTTCAGCCCTTTTTTTCAGTTACAGGCATCTAAAGCTATAAATTTTCTTCAGCTTTCATTGTATACAATTTAGTATTTCCAAGTATTTTTAAATATTCATTATGATTTCTTCTTTGTCTCATAAATTAGAAACATTTTTAAAAATTTCTAGACATATTGAGGTAACTTTATTTCATTGATTCTAAGATGAACTTTTTGTTTCCACATTTTAACACCTTATAATAAATGACGTGTTAGAGAGTGTATGAAATATCATATTTATCTTTTCTACCTTAATACCATTGTGGTTTATATATACTGATTCTTTTGAAATTGCTTTAGATTTGCTTTGTGACTTATTCCTGAGGTTAATTTTTGTGTGTGTTCAAGTGAGCTTGAGGAGAATCTGTGTAATTTGTAATTTTTTGTTTTGGATTCTGTGTAAGTACAACAAAGCAAACTTGCTAATTATGTTGTTTAAATCTGTGTCTTTACATATTGTCTGCTTGCTCTGCCAGTACTTGAGAGGAATGTTGAAATCTCCCACTATAGGAATGATTTCTTGATTTTTCTTCAGAATTCTGCTATATATATCCTATTAAAATATATTTTTTTAAGCTCTTCAATTAGGAGCTTATGTGTTCAGAATTGTTATTTCTTCACAGTGAATTAAACTTTGTTTCATTATGAAGTAACCTCCTTTATCCCTTGTAATGCTGTTGGTCTTTAAGTCTGTTTTCCTAATGTTAATATAGGTGTCCTATCTTTCTTTGGGTTAGTCTTTGCCTTGCTAACTCTTTTTCCATTCTTTTACTTTCAGTCTTTCTGGGTCTTAATTTGTTTGGTTTGGTTTTGCTTTTAAGTTTTTAGGTGTGTCTCATAAATAGCTGATTTTTTTATTTTATTTTTTATTTTTTAAAGATTGGCACCTGAGCTAATAACTGTTGCCAGTCTTCTTTCTTCTCTCTCTCTTTTTTTTTCCTTTCTGCTTCTTCTCCCCAAATCCCCTCAGTACATAGTTGTATATTGTAGTTGTGGGTCCTTCTAGTTGTGGCACATAGGATGCCGCCTCACTGTGGCCTGATGAGCAGAGCCATGTCCACACCCAGGATTCGAACCGGTGAAACCCTGGGCCACTGCAGCTGAGCGCGTGAACTTAACCGCTCGGCCACAGGGCCAGCCCCTAGCTGATTTAAAATTTAGTCTGTTAGTCTCTTTTTACTGGTAGGTTTGGCTTTATTAGGATTTTTTATATAGTTTCTACTATCTTAATGTGATTTGTCTTTTTAATTTTAAAAAATGTTTTCTCCTTGTATTCTTGTTTTTAAAAAAATTAAGATTTTAAAATCTTTTGTTTATTTTTTTCTTTCTACTGGTTTAGATTTATGTATTCTATTTCTATTCTTTTGGGGGCTAACCTTGCAATTTACCAGGCATACTTAGCAAAAGCTAAAATAAATAGGTCTCTTACTTCCCTGCAAAATTATACATGGACCTTAGAACTTTTAGCTATCGCCCTCTTCCTTTCTTACATGCTGCTACTGTCCACTTTAGTATGGTCATGTTTAACCTCACAAATTAGATTTTTTTTTTATGCAAACAATATTTGTTTAGATTTATACTTGTATTTTTCACCATCCTTTTCCTTCTGGGATCATTTCCTTCCTCACTGAAGTACATTCTTTAGATATTCTTTTAGTGAAAGTCTTTTGGGTAACTTTCAGAATTTCTAGCATGCCACTAAAGATATTTCCTTCAATCTTTAATAACTAAATTTTTGTCATTGCTGAACATGACCAGATATTCTTGAAATCCGTCTGTGGTTCTAACCAAGATGAATAAGGACGACAAAGAATCTGAAGCTGAGGTGATGCCTGAACGTATCATGCTTTACCCCTTGAATTGGTCAGGAGTTGACGTTGTCTTTATAACTAGTAATGTAACTGGAAGGAGATTAAGATCCTGAAATGGAGACTTTTCATTTCAGATCATCCCAGCTCCTTGAGGCTGCCTAAGACCCATGTCACTGGTTATTGGAGCTTCTGATTCCAAAATCTTTGATCCCCAAGACTGGAGGTAGCTCAAATCACCATTTTTTTTTTTGTTACAGCTCAGAGAGTGGCAACAGTGTGAAAAGACTGAAATCGGATCCGGACCCAGATGACAAGAATCAAGGTAGGTGATATCCTTCAATTCATTCTGTACTCATAATAGACATGAACCACAGTAAAGGGCTGCAATGCGTTGCATCTATGAATGTATGCCAGCCTTTGTCTCTAAGCAAGCCTACCCAAACTTAATTTGCCAAACTGTTTTATACCAGGCAGGGTTTATACCCAAGAGGATGTCAGCTGCCCTACAAACTAATATGTTAGCACCTGGTGGAACTGATAAATGACAATTGTGCTCTCCTACGAGTGCTTACAAAGCCAAACCCTGGTCGTATCACCTCTGTTCACAAAGGGTTTTTCTGTCTCCCCCAAATGGCAAGTTTCTTGCTTTCGCCTGGCTGGCTGCCAGTGAGGGGTAGGAGGCCTGCCTGCTGCTGATGGTTGGGTTGGACTGAGCCTAGAGGCTTAATACAGCTTCCAGGCGTACGCTTTCTTTGGTGGTTGCTTATATGTAATCACATCTAGCGCTGTATTCAGTGGCACCAATTGTAAGTGAAGGTGAGTGTATCCTGGGGGCTGGATCGGGAATGAGAAATTCAAGAGTGTTCTCACTTCTGCCCCTGCTCCCTGTGGGATGACACTCTGAGCTACACTCAGTGGGCCATCTGTAAGACAGGGCTTATGTTCATTTCTTTCTCAAAAAAATAGTGGATATTTTAAAATATGTATCTAATGGTTATTTTTTAATATGTATTACTGAGTACCAGTAATGGTCAGCTGTTGCTGATACATTTTGCTCTAGAATCTACTTTTAAAAAGGACATTCAGTGAAGAGTCTCCCCTACCCCTGTATCCTCTTCTGTCCAGTCCTTCTCAGAGGGAAACAGTGTTAGACATTTCCTATATATCCGTCCAGAGCTATCTGAGCATGTATAAACAATTACAAATATATGTATTTTTAAATGTTTTATTATAGATAACTTAAAACATATTCAAACGTTGAGGTAGTAGTATAATGAACCCCATCATGTAGCTTCAACAGCTTTAACACATATCCAATATTACTTCATTTATACCTTCCCAACTGTAGTATGTTGAGCAAATCCCAGACATCAAATTATTTCATCCATAATTATTCTGTATGTATCCCTAAAAAATAGAGTTCTTGTTTGTTTTAACATAATTTTACTATCATTATCACACCTAAAATTTTACAATATTTCCTAAGTATTATCAAATATCAAATTAGTGTTCATTTTCCCATAATTCTTTTTCTTGACAGTTGATTTTTTACAAATCAAAATCCAAGCAAGGATCAGACATTGTATTTGGCTTATATGGCTTTAAAAAAAATTATCGAGTTATAATTCACATACTGTAAAATTTACCCTTTTAAAGGACACAATTCAGTGGGTTTGTTGTTTTTTTTTTTTTTGAGGAAGATTAGCCCTGAGCCCTCTTTTTGCTGAGGAAGATTGGCCCTGAGCTATCATCTGTGCACATCTTCCCCTACTTTATGTGGGACACGTGCCACAGCATGGCTTGACAAGCAGTGGGTAGGTCCACACCTGGGATTCGAATTGGCAAACCCCAGGCTGCCGAAGCAGAACGTGCGAACTTAACCACCGGGCCACTGGGCCAGCCCCTCAATTCAGTGGTTTTTAATATGTTCACAACAATATTTAGTCATCACCACTATCTAATTCCAAAACCTTTTTATTACCACAAAAAGAAACTCGATGCCCATTAGCAGTTACTCCCCATTCTTCCCACTCCCCAGCTACTGGTAACTACTAATCTACTTTCTGTTTCTATGGATTTACCTTTTCTGGATGTTTCATGTAAATGAAATCATGCAATACGTGACCTTTTACTCCTGGCTTCTTTTCACTTAACATAATGTTTTCCACGTTCATCCATGTTGTAGCATGTGCCAGTACTTTTTACAGCTGAATAATGGAATCATGGTATGATATGGCACATTTTGTTTGTCCATTCATCAGTTGATGGACGTTGGAGTTGTTTACACTTTTTGGGTATTATAAATTATGCTGTATGAACATTCATGTACAAATTTTTGTGTGAACAAATGTTTTCAGTACTTTTGGATATACACCTAGGAATGGAATTGCTGGGTCATATGGTAACTCTATGTTCAACTTTTTCAGAAACTGCCAAATTGTTGTCCAGTGCAGTTGTAGTGTTTTTATATTCTACCAGCAGTATATGAGGGTTCCAGTTTCTTCACATCCTTGTCAACAGTGTTACTGTCTTTTTTTATTATATCCATCCTTGTGGATGTGAAGTGATATTTCATTGTTCTTTTGGTTTGCATTTCTCTAATGACTGATGATTTTGGCATCGTGTACTTATTGGCCATTTGTATATCTTCTTTAGAGAAATATTTACTCAAATTCTGAGCCCATTTTTAAATTGTTATATTTCTTTTTATTGTTGAATTGTAAGAGTTCTTTATATATTCTGGATACTAGACACTTGTCAGCTATGATTCACAGATATTTTCTCCCTTTCTGTAGGTTGTATTTTCACTTTCTTGATAGTGTCCTTTGGAGCACAAAGGTTTTAAATTTTGATGACATCTAATTTATTTATTTTTTCTTTGGTTACTTGTGCTTTAGGTGTCGTATCTAAGAAACCGTTCCCTAATCCACCGTCATGAAGATTTACACCTATGTTTTCTTCTAAGAGTTTTATAGTTTTAGCTCTTACGTTTCAGTCTTTGATCCATTTTGAGTTAGTTTTTGTATATGGTGTGAGGTAGGGATCCAGTTTCGTTCTGTGTGGATATCCAATTGGCCCAGCACCCTTTGTGGAGAAAACTGTTTTTTCCCCACTGGCACTTTTATTGAAAATCAGTTGACCAACATGTGTGGGTTTATTTCTGGACTCTCTTTTCTCTTCCATTGATCTATGTGTCTGTCCTTATGCCATTACCACACAGTCTTGATCACTATAGCTTCGTAGTAAGTTTTGAAATTGTGAAGTGTGAGTCCTCCAACTTTGTTCTTTTTCAAGATCATTTTGGCTTTTCAAGGTCCCTTGCATTTCCATATGAATTTTGGGATCAACTTGTCAATTTCTGTGAAAAAGGCAGCTGGGATTTCAGTAGGGATTGCCTGAGTCTGTAGGTCAACAGAAATATTGCCGTCTTATGGCGTCTTAATAGGCTAGTGTGTCTTTTAAGTCTCGTTTAACCTTTAGGATCTTCCTCCTTTTTCAATTTGTATTTGTTTCTTTTGTATTTTTTTGTACGAAAAACTGGATCTTCGTCTTGTGGAGTTTTCCACACTCTGGGTTTGCTGATTGCATTCCCATGGTGTTCCTTTATATCCTGTGTTTCCTGTAAAATGGTAATTACGTCCAGAGCTTGATCAAGTTGATTTTTGGCAAGAATACTTCGTATGTTGGTTTTGTGCTCCCTATTATCATTATTATTACTTTAATTAAGATACTCTTTTGTTCATTGCTTAATTTGCTTGTCATTATACCTTGGGAATTGTTCATATCCGAACATAAACAGCTACTGCATTCTTTTTTAAGGAAGTGTAGTATTCCATTGTGTGGCTGTAGCATAGTATATTTGTCTCATTTTCTATTGATGAACATTTAGATTGTTTCCATTCTTTCTCTATCCTGATGTTTCATTAAATAATGCTGTACATGCATCATTTTTCACATTCACAAATACATCAGGTTAAATGCTTAGAAGTAGAATTATTGGGTCAGAGAGGATATACGTTTGTAATTTCGATAAACGTTACCAAATTGCCCTGCAAAGAAGTTATCCCAGTTTATATTCCCATCGGCAATGTAGGAGTTGCATTTCACTGATATCTTTTTAATATACAGGAAACTTGCTAAACTGTGGCTGCTTAAATACGATAAGTTATACTGTGTGTGTTTATACACACACACACGCACATAAATAAAACTTCATAGAAATCTTAAATATCTTTCAACTAGTTAACTCATAGTCCTGTCTCTGGTGCTTATTCCCTGGTAAGAACTATTTGCATCGATCAAGGGGAAGGAGAACTGGTGTGGCTCCTTTAAACTATCTCAGGCAGACGCTTAGGTTTCAGATCATCTTTTTTGTGCTTCTAAATCCCTTCTTCCTACCCCTCCATTCTTAGAGCAGAAGCTGGGCAAGAAATATCCTCTTTTTTCGGCCCCATAGTATAATGGTTCAAGTTTGGTGTATTCTGCCTCAGCGGCCTGGATTTGTGGGTTCAGATGCTGGGCGTGGACCTACTCCACTCGCCAGTCATGCTGTGGCGGCAACCCCCATATAATGTGGAGGAAGATTGGCACAGGTGTTAGCTCAGGACTAATCTTCCTCAAGCAAAAAAAAAAAAAAATGATTAGTATGTTAGCTCAGGGCTAATCTTACTCAGCAAAAGAAAAAGAAATACCCTTTTTTACTAGGAGCTAAGACCCTGCAAGAGGAATATACCCTGAAGCTTGCTTCAGAGTCTTTTCCTGGACAGTAGAAGGATTAGCCCTGTTAGTCCCCCAGAAGTTAGCTCTTTGACCCTAATGGAGATTCAGGCTTCCCCCACTGGCGGCTGTGGACATAAGCTCTGGGCAGAGCCAGTAAGTGTACAAGTGTCCCCATCTACTCTCAAGTCACGCATCTGTCTGAATCCCAAGAACAGTCTCTCATAGCAATTTTCAGTATTATTTTGGTATGACAATGTGGTCCTGCAAATGCAGAAGTTGGCAGGAAACTTCACCAAATGGGTGAGATCAGAGGGCACTGCTTTGTTCTCTTTGGACAGTTAACTGCTTTTGGAATGAAATTTGTCAGAGTTGCAGTCTCTTTTCTTTCTTGAAACTTCCTAGATAATTGAGAGATTGGGTCTTTTGGCTTCAGCTCTACTGATGGCGCTACAGTCCAGATTCCTTGGTTGCGTTTCCGTGGCTGGCTTCCAGCCTTCCGTTAGGCCAGCTCTAATCCTCTGTAGGGACTCTGAACTTGATCCTTCTTTTCTAAGATAGACTCTAAAATACTTCACCCTTGAAATACTTAGTAAAACGATGTATCTCACTAAGCAGCTTCACATGAATTACTTTGCTGAGTAACTGATTCATACCCTTATAAAATATCAGGTGTTTTTTAAACAACCACATTTTTGTAACAGTACCGTTATGCGTTACTTAACAACGAGGATACGTTATGAGAAATGTGTCAGGCGATTTTGTCATGTGCGAATGTCATAAAATGTACTTACACAAACCTAGACGGTATAACCTACTACGCCCCCAGGCCATATGGTGCTAATCTTATGGGACCACCATCATATATACCGTTCATTGTCAATGGAAACGTCATTATGTGGCGCATAACTGTACTGGAAGTATCTTTGTTATGTGAAAGTAATAGTACAGTGAATGTTCACATAACAAATGGTAGACAGTTTGATGTTATGTCCCAAATTTTCACATCCCACCTCAAAAAATTTAGCCATTTACAATGAAGCTGTAAAATGCCTTTAACACATTTTCTCACATTCTCGCACATTGTGAATGCCGACCTGCTCTGTGCCAGGCCCTATGCTCTGTGCCAAGGGCATTGAATGGTGAAGAAGGGGCCTGGCCCTCAGCAGACCTAGGGTTAGAGGAGAATAGAGACAAGCCATCCCTCTCGTCATGAGGACTGCCCAGGCTTCAGCAGCCTTCCTGGCTGGAGTTAGGGATGCCCTTGGCTCACAGCGAGATGTGGAAGTGTTCCTCCCTAATTTAAGCAGCCCAGGATGCTCTTTGAATTTTTACATTTGTCTTTTTAAAGAATTGTCTAAAAAGGTAGTATGTGCATTTCATAGAAAATTCAAAAGGGACAAGAGAGTGTAGAGTGAGAAGTTAAGTCTCTCCTGTTCCCCGCCCGCTCAGGTCCTCTCCCCAGAGCAGCCGCTGTCACCAGTTTTTATGTATTTTCAGACATTGTCATGCATATACATGGGCGTGTTTATTTTTCTCCCCACAAATTATGGCACATACACACAAATCATGACTTTGATTTAGCACAGAGTCTTGGAGCCCAGTACACAGAGGTGCTTGACGCTTCGTACTGGCTGAGCAGTAGTCCGTTCCTTAACTGGTCCCTGTTAGTGGCCATTTGGGTTGTCTCTAGCCTTTTGCTGCTGTCAGCAGTGCTGCAGTGAATGTTCCCATGACCGTCATTTCAGTTTGAAGGACGTTGTCAAATTGCCCTTTGCTCCCTGAGCAGTGTATGAAGATGCCTGTTCGCCATACCTTGCCTCCTTATATAGTGTTTATTCTCCTCTGTTTAAAATCCATCTGTTTCTTTTTCTGTGAACCGTTAGTGCCTTCTGTCCACTTTTCTGTTCCGTTGTTGGTTTTGGAAGAACTCGTTGTATGGTGCAGAAATGGGCTTTTGTGGTATTTGTTGCAAACGTTTTCCTCCTTTCTTGTAGCCTTGTCATTGCCATCTCAGCAGCCACTGTCAGCTCTCATTTCACTTTTCCCCATCTCCGTGTTTTAACGTTGCTTATCTTCGGTGGCTTCTTTTTCCTTAGTAGGACTTTCTGTAAGACAAGCAGATATGCTGAGCTCTTGCACTCTGTGTACTGGCTGGTTGATAGCTCTTTTTGCTTCTCCGTGGTATTTTTTACTTACTCCTGATTTCATGTACTTGGGGCCATGTATCCTTTTCACATTTAGTTGAGGTCTGTGTTAGGGATTGTTAAGGCAAAACCCTGGAAGGTAATATGCTTCTCAGCCTGAGATAATGAGGTTTGAACTCCACCTCTTACTCGTCAGTGAGGTCTGGTATCATTTTAGTACATTATCTTTTGATTCAGATTGAGTTTATTGTTTTCTACACTTTTTTTTTGGTGAGGAAGATTGGCCCTGAGCTAACATCTGTTGCCAGTCTTCCTCTTTTTGCTTGAGGAAGATTGTCACTGAGCTAACATCTGTTCCAGTCTTCCTCTGTTTTATAGGGGATGCTGCCACAGTGTGGTTTGATGAGCAGTGCTAGGTCTGTTCCTGGAATCTGAACCCACAAACCCCAGGCCACCAAAGCGGAGCATGCGAACTTAACCACTACACCACCAGGCGGGCCCCTGTTTTCTCCTCTTAAGTGGCCTTTAATTGTAGCCAGGTCTTTCGACCTCCCCCGTCAGTCACATGGGGGATGCCTACATGTCAGGTTGCTGTAGTGACGAGTGAGGCTGGGAACGTGTGGAGGAAGGAGGAGGAGTGGAGCAGAGTTCTTAACTTTTCCTTTGACCTCAAGCCCTGTGTTTTCTAGATTGAGGCTTTCTGTCACTGAGGTGGCATAGTAGCTGTGGGTTTCCTGGGGCAAAAACCACCCCAGCTACTTGGTGACGTTCTGCCTGGTTTTGAAATGTGCTCCAGCTGTCCTTCAGTTTTCTCAATTGTGAAAGGAACACAGCCGTCAGATGCGGGCGCCATGGTGTGGAGGACTAGGGTTGTTGGAGGGCTTCTGTGGGTAACGCCCTCAGCACGGGGCCTGGCTTGTGGAAAGGACCCCGGCAACACTGGAAAGAGGTGGTGAAGTAACAGTCTTTCCTCTGTTTTGCAGAAGCCCTGCCCTGCGTGTCTCTTGGCAGCGCATCCCTGAGCGCTCCGTCCATCCACTGCCCGTCCGCCGCCGTCTGCATCGGCATCCTCCCGGGCCTGGGCGCCTACTCGGGGAGCAGTGACTCTGAGTCCAGCTCCGACAGCGAGGGCACCATCAACGCCACCGGCAAGATCGTCTCCTCCATCTTCCGAACCAACACCTTCCTCGAGGCCCCCTAGCTCTGCGTCCTTCCCACCGCGAGCTCCTGCCCAAGGGTAGACGGACGTGCCTCCTGCCGCGGGCACACCTCCCTCCGGAAACGCCTTTGCCTGCTTCCTGTGCACACTGAGACATGTTTAACCTCATCTAAAGACGTGCCAGAGTTTACTAGAGGCCCGACCTGTGTTTGATTTCTCTTTCCGGTCCAGTGCAGATGCCCAGACCTGTCCCTCCACCTCTTTCCTCAGCGCTGTGGTGGGGCGGAGGCCAGGTTCGGCAGAAATGCCGCTGGAAACACCCTGGGAAGGCAGGCGCCAGCTGGCTTGCAAAGGTTTGCGGTATATTACTTTCTTGCCGTTTTCTTTTTTTCCTTTCCCAACAGCACAAAGAAGCAAGGGCAGTTATTAGACAGGTATTGTTTAGACATTCATTTTAGACGAACACGTGCTTTGGTTGTACTGCGTTGTGGAGCATGCGGGACAGGACTGACCCGGTGATGAAATGGCCCGCTCCCCTGGACCTAACGACTTCTTCATGTTGTGTGACTAAGTAAAGACTATAAACTACATCTCTGGGGGGTGTCACTTAGCATCATCATTCACTGTGAAGTTTTCTCTTACTCTTGGCCATTCCTTCTCCTCCTCCCTTCTTCCAATCCCATTTAAGACTAAACCTTAGAGAAACAGCCCTTATTTCATCATGGCCAGAAGTCAGAAGTACTGGTAGGTCTGTGGGCGAGCTGATAGAATTCAGCAGCTCCTGGAATCCTGAAATTGCACATCCTGACTCTCCTCGGTGCCTCGCCGAGGCTCCCCCTCTGTTTGATACGTGTTATAGTTGTGGCTTCTAACCCTGCAAGCTGCTTCTAGTCCGAAGGTGCTGCGCTGTCCTTTCCTCCTCTCTTATTTGCGGTCCCTCCTGCTCTTCCCCTTCCCACACAGGGCAGCCCTGTGGCTGTGGGCAGCCAGGGCGCGGTGGTACTGCTCCAGCTCTTTGTCTCGTAAAGGGAGGCAGGGGCTCTCCCTTTGGGAGGGAGAGGAGGACGGGAGACCAGGTGTGAGGCCTCAAGGACAGAGGGAGGCATGGGCTTAAAAAAAATCTGGACTTTCCCCCGCTTCGGGGGAATGAGCCTGGACGGTTCTCTCTTCCCGTTGGTTCCTACGTCAGTTGTTTCTGCTTTCTTGGTGTGAGACGGAGAGAGAGACACACAGAACGTGTTGACACTGTGATGCTGGCAGGCAGAGAAGCTGCTCAGTTTTAACGTGGGCAGAGAGGCCCCTGGATCTCAGCCAGCCCCTCCTTTCCCTCCAATGCGGCGACACTCTGGTGCCCGTTGCCAGATGGTGACTTCCCTTCGCCTGTCACTGATGCCTTCTGAGTCCTTCCTCCTCTCAGAAGTACCGTGTGCTGATTGTTCCTGACTGTCAGTGCAGGCGCGCCGGCCCCTGCTGACAAACGAGACATTCAGGTGAAACTGCAGGCACCTTCTCTGCTTCATGCTTCCTGCGATTGTGCTGGTACCGAAGCGCGTATCCAGAGCAGCCTCACATCCTTTCAGCAGGCAGAGCGAGGGCTCCCAGTCACCGTGTTTATGTGGTTTGACTTGGAAGAGGCCGTTGTTCTACCTCTTGGCCTCTGTTGATGGTGGGGAAAGTTGACGAAGGGTGCAGGGATTAAAAACACACATTAGGGGCCGGCCCGGTGGTGCAGCGGTTAAGTGCGCACGTTCCGCTTTGGTGGCCCGGGGTTCGCTGGTTCGCATCCCAGGTGCGGACATGGCACCGCTTGGCACGCCATGCTGTGGTAGGCGTCCCACATATAAAGTAGAGGAGGATGGTCATGGATGTTAGCTCAGGGCCAGTCTTCCTCAGCAACAAAGAGGAGGATTGGCAGCAGTTAGCTCAGGGCTAGTCTTCCTCAAAAAAAATAAATAAATAAAAACACACATTAGCTCGAAAGCTGCTAAACCTGTAGGAGAACCAGATCTCGCTTTTCCTATACTGAATTTTGTGCCCCCAACTCCCTCCCCAGCTACCCTAACAGCTCGATTATGTTGAGAAGGGTGAAACTTTTCAGACTGAGATTTCTGCCCTGGTGTCTCCGGTGAGATTGAGACTCGCTGTGACCATTTCATCGTCTTCCACGGTCCCCATTCTGTAGACTGGAACTGAGACACAGCAGGCTCTAGAAACCACAAATAGCAAAACAGGGTCTGGTCTGCCCAGCAGAGGAAGCAGCCTTGCAAAGCATCCAGTGTGGACAGTATGGTTCAAGCCCAAAGAAAAGAAGAAAAAGCAGGGGTGACAGGAGACCCTTCTGTCTTCGTAAATAATTGGGACTTTATAACTAGGTAACAAGGGCTGAAACCCAAATGTGGCGTGGGTTTCTTTAAACCTGCTTCTGCTGTTGTGAGTGGTGGTGGTCTTACAGTTCTTGAACCGTGTGAGGGAGAAGGCTTGTCTCTGAGGAGTCCCACAGCCAGCTCTCTTTGGACTGTCCAGCTTGTGTCACACCACGCCCTCTCAGCCACTTCCTGCTGGCCGTCTACCTTCGGCTCTGCACCCGCCTGGGTGGGGAGAAACGAGCATGAAATTCACAGCATCTGTTTTTCCATCCATAAAAAGACGGGAGGCGGATGTGACTGGACCCAGAGAGGTGGCTGGAGGCCTGTGTACGCACCTGCCCTCTTCCCAGGACCCAGGAGGGGAGAGCCGGCTTCGCACATCCAGAGTCCAGAGTTGGGGTGGGGGGGGGGCGCGCTTCAGCTTTTTCAAGAGCATTCTGAACTGAAAGTCGAGTCCCTACCAGGGGGTGACCTGGGCTAGCCCTTTGTGTCCTCATCTCTTTCACTCTCCACCTCATGCCTTTCTTCCCTTCTGTCTGCCTCCTCTCCACCCGAGACAAGCTTCATTCACCTGAGACTTCCCCACTGCTTCTGCTTCTCCTCCCTGGGAACTCAGCCTAGTTCCACCTTCCCTGGGTGTATCATAGTGGTTATGAGCTTGGAGCCAGACATTTACTAGCTGGATCACCTGGACAAGGTCCTTAACCTCTCTGGGCCTCAGTTTCCTCCTCAGTAAATAGGAATAATGACACCAACTTCCTAGCGAGGGTGAAAGATAATCTGGAGTAGGTCCTCGGTGCGGTATCTGGCACACAGTGCTCAGTAAATGGTCATCCTGATTCATGCTCTTACACTGGCGTCCCCCACTTCTGGGCAGGGTGTCCAGAGCTGCTGTCGGTGGTGATTTCTGGCAGGTTTTTCTGTCCTACCAGCATTCCTAAGTGGCAGCTAGAACACCGACACAATGAAGGGTCGCCTCTGGTCGTCAAAGCTCCAACTACCAGCTTCTGCTGTGTACCTCCCTCTAGCTAAATGTTAATTGCTCAGGCACACCCGGTTCCTTGGCTCTGGTGTCTTAGCCGTGGGTATGTGGCTCAGCTGTCATCTTAAGCCCCTCCGGAAAAACAAAAAGAGCTCAGTGGCAGCACACCATCATTTGCACTTGGGTATTTTCTTGATTTCCTGGTGTCCCCAGCCCACTTATGCATAACAGTGTGGAATGCAAGTTCTGCTCAGTGGGAGGCTAGAGTCTTGGCAACGCTTTTGTAGTTACAAGTTGAACACAAGAAGCCAGTCGCACATTCATGCCTTGGTGATGCTGGCAAGGACTGGCATTTGCTCCCTTACCTGCTGGAGCAACAGTTTAGGGGAGCGGGAGAGTGAAGCAGTAACAGGCCTCAGAGCTTGCAGAGGAGCCAGGCAGCAGGACCCAGAGGTGACCTTCCCTCCGAGCCTGAGGCTGTTGGCGGGGGGCTCCTCCCTCACTGTCTGAGGAACAGTCCTGCACATCATTAGCTCTTAGGTTGATGTCTGTCTTTCATTCACTGTGTGCCGAGGGCCTGCTGTGTATGTGCCAGGTACTGTTTGGGACGTTCATGGACCATTTTTGTGGATGGTAGTCCTTCATCCTAAAAAAAAAATCCTGTGAAGCAGCTCTTCTCTACTTTCTTTTTCCACGGAAGATTGGCTCTAACATCTGCTGCCAGTCCTTCTCTTTTTTTGCTGAGGAAGATTGGCCTTGAGCTAACATCTGTGCCCATCTTCCTCTATTTTTTACATGTGGGACACCTGCCACAGCATGGCTTGATAAGCAGTGTATATGTCCGTGCCCAGGATCTGAACTGGTGAACCCTGGGCTTTCGAAGTGGAGTGCGCAAACTTAACTACTACGCTACTGGCCAGCCCCTCTTCTCTACATTTTCTAGAGGGAACCAAAATTCATGGTGGCATAACAACTTGCTTGAGGTCGCACAGGTAGGTGACAGAACCAGAACATTAATTTGAGCCTTTAATTTACAGCTGACTTTCTGGGATTTCAGTGAAACTTTTAAATAAATGCCAGCCCAGGTCTCAGTGGTGGGGACTCAGGGTGAAGGCCTCTTGCAGTTGGGTTTCCAGGTTCTATTTTCAGCCTGCTCTCCATGTGTCAGAACCAAGGAGCAGCTCTAAGGCTTGGTTGATTGGTTGGTTTTTATTGAGATATAATTGACGTGTAACATTTTATTGGTTTCAGGTGTGTAACATAATTGTTCAATATTTATATATATTGCAAAATGATCCATCATGACACAGAAAAATTTTTTTCCTTTTTGATAAGAGCTTTTAAGATTTAACTCTCTTAGCAACTTTCAAATATACCATGCAGTGTTATCAATTCTATCAGCATGCTGTATGTTACATCCCCAGGACTGACGGATTTGGGTTTTTTTAGGTGGTGTGGCCTGGTCAGTTCAGGCACATGCCTTTCTCCTGTGAACTCGGGCCCGCTGGGAGTAAAGGGCTTGCTTGAGTGATCCATCCAACCTCAGGCAGAGACAGGGGCAGAAAGGGCAGTTGTGGCTGGGGCGGCTCCCACATGAAGCCCAGAAGTGGGGGCTGCAGGCACCACACCTGAGGGAGTTGGCCCGTAAGTTTGCGCATTTGGGATGGACCCTGATGCAAGGCAGGACTCTGCCTTAACATGGCCCAATAGATGTCAGTCTCCCCAGGCTGCTAAGTTACTCCCAGGGGGAGGCGAAAGGGAGAGGTCTGCATGAGGAGTGGTCACCCCAATACCCCCGTGCCCTGGGGGCTGAGGAGGGGATGAGGCTGGGAGAAGGCTGCTCCCCTAGAGAAGCCTCTGGGCAATCGGAACTTGACAGGTCCTCTCAGGTTGGAGAGGGTACCAACTTCCCTGGGTGTGACATCCAGCTAGACTCACTTCAGCTACCCAACGGGAGGGTAAACAAGCAGTCTTGTGCTGTGTCGACCAGCACCCAGTCTTGCAGCTGGCCTGAGCAAGGGTGAGGCGTGGACCAAGGAGCCAGGCGCGCTGGTCGTAGGATTCCATCCATGCTGCCGAGCTGGCCCCTGGGTCCTTGGGGAAATCAGGGCTACCTGCGGTCCTGCAGCCCTCTAGGAGTGGAGGTCACCCTAAAGGATATTTCAGCCGGCGTTTGGTGGCCACAGAATCCGCAGAGGCACTGGAAGCTTAGGATGAAGACATCCGTCACTCAGTCCCCGAGGATGGCACTGGCTCCTGAGATCACCAGGCCCCTAGAGGTGGAAACTGCCGGGCACACCACCCAGGGCCAGCAGGTCACTACCAAGGATTACTGCCCTGGGGGGTAGGTCGAGATGACTGACTCCCAGTGTCCGTGGAGAGGGGGGCAGGTTCATCAGCAGCTCGAGCGGAAGCCGTTCAGTGCAGTGGAACAAGTGGGGGCTCTGGAGCCAGCCAGACCCGGATCTAAGTTCTGGCTCTGCCTCTCATAGATTCGATTAGCTTCTCTGCTTGTTTCCTCATCTCTGAAATGCTCCTAGGCAGGGGCTGTTGGAAGGGTTCATCCAGATTATGCCTGTGAAGCACTTGGTACAGAGCTGGAAACAGTGCTTAATAAATGGTAGTTGTTATTAGGTTACACATAAGCCTGTAGCAAAGGGGCTAGCTGGAACTCCAAGGGGGAGGTGGATAAGAGAGAGAGAGATGTGTTATGTGGAAGAGAGCAGGGGACTAGGACGATGGCTCGGGTTTCAAGATTGGTCCCCTGGCTGGTTTCATGAAGTTGGGCCTGGCCTGGAGGGGGCATGTGGTAGAAGCCAATGGCTGCTGTCCGCAGGGGCAGAAGCAGCCCTGTTCAGCATCCTCAGGCCAGAGGCTTTCACTGCTGCAGACCACGGGCTGAGCCCAGGGCTGGGAGAGCTGGAGGAGGAGCAAATGGGCGGCAGTGGCTGCTGTCCTGTGGGGGGGTGTGTGTGTTGGGGGGGTGGTGGAACGCAGGACAGAGTGTGGACCAAGAGGAAGGAGCGGAGGGCACCCTGCTGGGCCAGCATGTGGGGATTCCCAGGAACACTGGTGTGGGCTCTGCAGGGGCCAGAAAGCCTACAGTTGCTGTGGGGACCCATGTGTTCTATTCATCCGCAAATATTTATTGAGCATGTACAGTGTGCCAGGTTCTGTGCCCATGTAACAGAGGCACCCTGTTCATGTGGACTGCATGTCCCCAAGTAGCAGCTTCACAGGCTGCCTGGGGAAAGTGGTTTTCCTGTTTCCTTTCCCAGATGAGTGAGCCCATCGGGTCTGGGCTGAGGAAGGAGTTGACACAGGGACATCTGAAACTCCTTTATTACCCTGAGTATAACAGATAGAGAACATGGTCACAGTATTAAAAAACAGCAGGCGTTAGGTGCAGTCTACGACACAAAGGATGCCCCGGGGACACGTTCCTTTCAGAGTCTGCAGCCAGTTACTTGGAAGAAGCCAGTTATGATTGTAAAAATTTTATTCTCTTTAATAACAATAATTCCACTAAAATTATACAAAGTACATTCAATACTTAAGAGTGGCGGGGTGGGGAGAGGAAGCCAGTTTGGCCTGGAAGCATCATCAGTGACTGGAACAAAGGAAGCCCAGCTGGGCTGGGAGAGACTGGGGGTGGAGGTCTGGTTGTAAAAAATAAAAATGTGGATTGGTAAAAAAGGCCACGCACAAGGAAGCAGGGTGAGCGTGGGCGTCCGGGGGCCGGCGTTCAGGGGGGTGGGCATCCCAGGGTGGGTGCCCAGCTGGCGTGCTGCTGCCAGGGGGGCGGGGGGGGGGGGCCGCGGTCAGGCGGGCTCCGAGTGGGTGGGGGGCAGGTTTTTATGCTTGAAATACTGCACGACTTGTTGGGGCAGCTCCGCCAGCACTGCTTTGGCCAAGGTCTCTTTTGCTGCCTGCAGGGTCGAGGGTGAGGGGAAAGGGGGAAAAGAGGAAGAGTGAGGATTACAGAACGGAAGTTGTGAGGGGCCTCAGGCCCGGAGAGCTGCTACAGAAGGTGTCCCTGGAGGACAGGATCTGGGCGGAGGGACCAGGCTGGCAAAAACTAGCGTCCCCCATCCTGGCCCGTGCCCGCCAGCCCTCCACGCCCTGTGCCTGCCTTTATGCCGGGTGTTAGTAACTCAGCCTGAGCCCTTGTGATGCTGGGGAGTAAGGCCTTAGGATGGGTTTGTCTGTGGGAGGGTTTCCGGGGAAAGAGGCGGGGGAGGCCAGCTGCACAGCCTACTCATCTGGCAGACGTGGCCTGAGCACCTTCTTGGCTGCTATAAACGCCGTGACTGTCTCATTCACCACTGAATGCCCAGCCACAGGCCAGGCTCGGGGAGGGGCTCAGTCAGTGTCAGCACGAATGGGTGGCCGACGCCCAGCTTTTGTCCTCAGGAAGCTAATGCTCCAGCGGAAGGAGCCGAACTATCTCAGGCCAGCCCAGGGGGTACTGGGCAGAGATGTGAGGACCACTGGGTACAAAACAGAGTGGTCAGTTCTTGCTGGGATTGGCTCCCAGGATCTGAGCCACAGCACTTGGAGAGGCCCTTATGGCCAAGGGGACTGAGGTCCAGAGATGTCAAGGGCTTGCCCAAGGCCACACAGTGTGACAGTGTGCCTCTGGTCAAACAAGAGTCAGGCCCTAGGCTGGCAGTACAGTTGTGGCATCTGAGAGACTGTGCTCCCTCTGGGGCTCCTTATGGGCCCAGCTGCCAGGGCAGCGACTAAGAAGCCAATCCTAGCCTCCTGTGGGCAGACCGGGGGTTACCTGCAAATGGGACCAGAGCCACCTCCAGGAACAAGGTGAGGCCACCAGTCCCCCCTGCAGTGGCCCTTAGGGAGGAGGGGGCCATTCTAAAATGTGAAGTGAGGAGGTTGGGTTAGGTGTGATTGCCAGGAAGGCCCCTCTCACCTCTGGGCCTTTGCACTGTCCCTCTGTCTGCCCTGAATGCTTTGCCTACTTCTGCCCGGCCCCGAGTTGGAGGGCAGGGCTTCCTGGGCTGGGCCCCGCTCCCCTGTGCTCCGTCAGCATGCTGAAGCAAGCGCTCACACTGTCACATAGCCTTGTCTGGGGGCAGGGCCTGGCAGGGTGCTGGGCACATAGTAGGCCCTCAGGAAGGACACAGTCAATGTTGCTGAGACTAGAGGAGCCTAGGATTGGGCAGACAACCCCAAGACTCCCCTCCTTGATATTAACTCTGGCACTGGGGTCCCCTACCGCCCCGCACCCCTGCCTGGGCCCACACTCACGTTGCGGAACTCTCGGAAGGGCACGAACTGCACGATGTCCCGGGCCGCCTCCTCCCCGGTGTAGGAGCGCAGCGTGCGGCTGTCCCCATCCAGGAATTCCATGGCCGCGAAGTCAGCGTTGCCCACGCCCACGATGATGATGGACATGGGCAGCTTGGAGGCCTGCACCACAGCGTGCCGCGTCTCCTCCATGTCGCTGATGACGCCGTCCGTGATGATGAGCAGGATGAAGTACTGCTGCAGGGGGCCAGGCAGCCGGGGCCTCAGCACAGCGCCCCTCTCCCCGCCCCCTCTCCCAGCCCACACCCTCTGGCTCCTGCGAGGAAGGTGGCTCTTCTTCCCTAACTGTAGCCAAATCCCGGCCACCTTCCCCACTGCCTCGGCCCCCGCCAGCCTCTCCTCCATCTACACCCTGACCTGGTCGCAGCCCGAAGCACCCAGTGCCCTCGTCCTCCACCGTATCTGCCATCTCAGACACCCCAGCTCGGGGCTGAGGGCCCTGCATTCGGCCGGGCTCTGCCAGTCGCCACACTGTGGGACTCTGGGCAACTCGCTGTGCCTCAGTTTCCTCCCCTGCACAGTGAGAGTGGCTGCACCTCTCAAAAGAGAACACGCCTGCCGCGTGGCCGTGGCGCTAATGGACAGCTGCATCTGTGCAGTCAGGCCACGGCTGGGGAGGGAGATGCGTTCTGGCCAGTGGAGCCCGGGAGCAGCCTCCCCTCTGCCCCCAGTGCATGGAGGCCTGCCATCCTGCTCTGCGACCCTACTGTCCCTGCGAGCACGGCCTCTGAGAGGCCTGGCAGGAGCTAAGCAGGTCAGCTAGGCCAGTGCTTCTGGGGCTGTAGAATTCTGCCAGTAGAGAGTGGACGTGGGGTCACACACGAGACGCAGCCTCGAGTCCTGGCGGGAAGGGGCCTGGTTTGCACAGTTCTTCCATTCTGCAGACCGCCCGGGAGTCTGGTGCTGGTGTGTCTTTACGCCTCTCTGACATCCCTACCCGTCCTTATTCAAGAGAGAGGGCGGGACACTCAGAGTTCAGGGGCGACAGTCTCTAGGCTTAAATATCTTGTACAGTTTGATGTATTTATTTTTATTGTTATTTTCTATTTATAGCAAGTGATAACTGACTTTTCACTCACAGTGGGTTATAAACTTTCTTTATCAAATTAAGAAAAGAACTGAATAATTACTGTGGGCGATAGGTGGCTGTAGTATAAACTGCAAAGGTGGGGTGAGGGAGTGAAGTTCAGGAGAGCTCCCTGGACAATCCTGTGGGCAGAGACCCGGGATGTGAAGCTGGCCGAGACCTCAGTTACACCTCAGCTCTGTCCTTAGCATCCTGTATCCCCTTTTTGAGGAACTCAGTTTTCCCCACCCATAAAAAACCAGAAAAGCTCTTGTAGCCTCATATTCTCTGTTTGGGGCTTTTGCCTTCTAGTCTGACCCTTCTGATTCTCGGGAGAAGAATTTGGGGCCCAGACTAGTCAAGGTCAGGGAGCTAAGGAGGGCAGGACCAAGCCAGACCCCAGGTCAGCACTTGGCTACCATCTCACCCATCTGCTCCCTGCGGAACACACAGAAGACACAAGTGAAGCCCCCTAGGATGCCTCGCTCTCCTGCCTGTCCCCCAAGCACAACTGTGGACAAAAGCAATGAGGTGAGCTTCATGGCGGCATAGACTCCACCACCCTAACCCCCAGCGCCGGGCAGCAGCAGTCCAGCTCTGCCTGCACTGTGCCTTTAAGAGACCAATCCCTTGGCTGGGGATACCTGTTGCTATGGAGACGGCGGCCTGAATCCCTGTACTGGAGGGCTGCTGCCGCCAGGCCCCCATCCCTGGGGTTGGGAGGGCCTCATAAGCCATCCAGACCCTCGTCCCCCCACAGCCCAGCATCGTCCCAGCACCCCTTCCCTAAGTGGTCCTCAAACCCCACTTCCATCCCACCAGAAGTAGTCCAGGGCAGTATGTCCAAGACACCTAAGCTGGCAGGAAGGAAGGCACTGAGAGATGCCTGGCATGAGGAAAGGAAAGAACGCTTGGCGTGGTCAGCAGCCTCACCCTCAGTGGGTGGGACGGTCTCCCCTCTCCTCACAGCCCTCTTGGCTCTCTCCTTTCAGTCAGCCAGGCGCCTACACTAGGAGACGTGGAGAGCCCCGCCTGGGCCTGCCTCCCAGCCTTGGCGCCTTCCTCCCCAGGGAGGTGGGAGCAGACAGGGCCTGCAGTGCCTGGGGGCACCAAGTGACAGGGCAAGGAAGTCTCTGATAACACACAGTGACGGTGAGCAGACAGATGCTCCCTGTCACCCTCACATTGTGGTTCTCCTTGTAGAGATGAGGAGACGGGCTGAGAGAGGCTCAGTGGCCTGCTCAAGGCCTCACAGCCAGGAATGGCAGAGTCTAGATTCAAACCCAAGCCCGGCTGACTCCAAAGTCGGGGCTCTTTCCACAGTGTCCTCCTCACCGCCCGTGGCATCCGTGGCCTGCAGCTGTCTCTCCAATAGTGGGGCCCCGCACCGGGCGCTTTCCACAACCTGTCACCCAGCACCCAATGTCGGAAGGCCTGAGTGTCCAGCAGGGCAGCCCAGACCCATCGTGCTGGACAGTAACCCTTGCTCCTGTGTGCAGCCAGCCAACACACGCCCACCGCCACGTGCCCAGTCTTGGGTCAGCAGCCTGGGCAGTGGAAGTGCAGCTGCCCATCCTGGGTGGAGCCGAGGTTGACCAAGAGCCTCTAAGCTCTGTTACAACCCAGGGGTCCACGGCCCACCCCCCAAGACAGTTTAGAGGGGAGGTGGGAGGGGCTGTGGACGGGGACACTGAAGGGTGGAATCAGGCAGGAGGTGGGAGGGGGTCTGCCGTCCCCACCCACAGTCCTGGTCCACCTCACCCCACGCCTTCCCACCTCCACACCTTCCCCCCTTTACTTCCTTCTGCCTGGCACCCCCTTCCCAGCCACAGCTTCCACTCATCTGAGCTCCTCCGTCCCAGGCAGACGTGGAGGCTCTCCCCAGCCTAAGCTCTGCTCCTACTGCCAGAATCCCGCCTCGGGGAGGGCTCGTCTGGACACCGCCGTCTCCCCCTACACCCCGACAACTCCTTGGGTCGGCCCTGGCACCCTCTTCCGCTTCTCACGGCCCTGACGCCCTGTCCATACTCCAGAAACGCAGCCAATCACTGGCAGGTGGAAGCAAAAACCCAAACTCCCAACACATTTCCAGGATGGAGTATCTCTGGCCTGTACGCAGAGGTTCTTCAGGTTTCTAGGGCTGAAAGTAGCTGCTTCCCCTAATGCATTTAACGTGTGATTGGATTTACCAGAAACTGACTTGACCACAGCAGTTCCAGGCAGAGTCGGGGAAGCTGCACTCACTCCCTGGCTTATTTCTGAGAAGCTGGCTGCAAGCACCCTGGGGGTCGGGCGGAGGGTGGGGGACATTCCCAGGGTCCTGGCTGCTTCCCTGCTCCCCTCCACTGGGACACCAGACGCCTAGGTGGCCAACCAGGAGTGGGCCACAGACAGCAAGGCCCAGGTCTTGTGGGCCAGAGCAGAGGGAAGGATGAAGGCCCCATCATGGGAGTCCCCTGGCCCCCCGGAACCTCTTAATGTCCTTCAGTGGCTCCCCACTGCCCTCAAGAGAAAATCCAGATTCCTCACTGGCTTCCAGGGCCCTGCGGGAGCCGGCCTACCTTTTCAACCTCATCTACCCCACGCCCCTCTGACACCACACTCCTTCCTCCAGTTACGCCCACAAGCCATGCCTCCAGGCCTTGGATACACGGTTCCCTCTGCCTGGGACACTCCACGCACACCCACATACACTCATGCATGTGCACGCATACACTTCACGAGACTAACTCTTAAGCATCCTCCGAGTCTCAGCCTGGTTTAATTGCGCGGCGTCACAGCTGCCATTTCCGGCCTGGCTCCCCCTGGGCTGCGGGCTGAGAGGGCAGAGGCATACTGTGCGCATCCTGGTCTCCAGTGCTGCGGAGAATACGTTCGGTAAAGACGTGCTGTGTGAACGAACTGGAGGGCGCGGGCCTGCCTGAAGAGATGCTCGCCCCCGCTCTCAATTTCCTGCACATGGGTGTGGACGCACATGCAGGTGTCTCCGGACAGGGAGGGTGAAGCCACACCAAGTGTTCCCCCAAAAGCAGCTGCACAAAAGCGCCAGTTAATCCATATATTATCTCCTTTTGCCTTGGGCCTAAATGTGCTCAGCGCCACCAAACGCTGGCCCAAGAGGTGTCCCTGGAAGATTCAGCCACCCACATTTATTGAGTGCTTACTGTGTGCCAGGCACTGTGCGGAGCAATCTACATGCTGATCTGGTTGAATCCTCACAACGTTCCTTGAGGCAGCTACTGTTCCATCATGCCCATTGTACAGGTGAGGAGACTGAGATTCAAAGAGCTTAAGCAACCTGCCCTGGGCCACGCAGCCAGGAAGTCGGGGAACCAGGGTTTGAACCAGGTTGATGGGCCTCGGGAGCTTGAGGCTGCACCACCGGGCAGCTCCACCTTCGGTGCACAGTGAGAGGTAGCATGGAGTAAAGAGAGGCAGGAGGTGGAGAAGCGGCTGTGTCTTCTTGGACATCAGAGTGGGAGGGGCCAATAGAGACTGCCTAGCCCTGCTCCTGCAGCCCAGAGATGCTTGCAGATGGCCCAAGGTCACTCAGCTGGGGTGGGTGACAATGCTTCCTGAAGGAGGGGAGCCAGGAGGAGCCCACCTCCCCAGGTTGGGAGGACCAGGCCATGATAAGTGGCCCGGGGTGTGGAAAGGATGAGGACTGGTCACAGGAAGCGCCAAGTTCTCCCCTCTGGGGGGCCCTCAGCAGTTGTTCCCCAGAGCTCAGACACCCTTCCTGGCCTCCCCTGGGGTCCAAGCCCCCTGCAGACCAGGATCCAGCATGCAAAGCCCCCTTCTCCCCCACACCCCATCTCCTGCCCAGTCCTGCCCGACCAGCAGGTGAGAGAGCCCTGCCCCACGGGGCTTCATTCCTGAGCCTGCCCATTCCCTGCCCTCCACAAGAATGCAGGCCTTGTCTCCATCCCTTTGAAAGCTGGCTCAGGCCCAGACCAGACTGGGCGGGACAATGGCCTGGCTGCCCATGGGATCCAAATGGGGTGCAGGCTGAAGGGCTGCCTCTCCTCCGCCCTCTCCTACCAGCCCTGGCCCCGCCCCCAGGAATTAAAAAGAAGCCACTCACAGGCCTGTCCGGTGGCTGTCCCACTCTGGTGGCCCGGACCCTCCCCGCCCCTGGGGCTTTACTGCTCCTATTTGATAAAGGCCTCAGCCCAGAAGGTGGCTTGTCTCAGGCCCGCAGCGCAGCGCCACGACCAGGCTGGCCCAGAGGGGATGGCGCTCCCCGCAGCAGAGACCACCGCCTGCCTTCCTTTCGACCGCACACTGGGTGCCCCCCCTGCTGGTTCCTGGTCCCTGGCGCCTGTGTCCCCTCTGCCAGGGGCTCGTCCCAGAACCTGTGCCACGGTCCTCTCTTGGGCTTCAGGTCTCTCGGGGTGCCAGGTGTTGCGTTAGCTCATCTCATCCTAACGCCACCTCCTCCAGGTAGGGCCTATTAGTATTCCCATTGGACAAACAAGCAAACGGGTTCAGAGAAGTTAAGTGATTTACCCACATCACACAGTAAGGAAGGGACGGGGGCAGCATTTAAACTCTGGCCCCAGGACCCCCTCCTCACAGACCCTCCTCTGCGGCCTCCCGAACACCAGACCATGTCCTGCTGTCCTGCCCTCCCCAGGCCAGCCCTGCTGTCCTCTTCTCTCCCTCTCATGACCCCCCCTTCCATCTTTGCCGCCCCCTCCGGGAAGCCCACCTCCACCTGCCTCGTGACCAGGTGGGAGCCTCCCTCCTCTGGGTGGTCCCAACGGGAGCAGGTCCCTTTCCCTTTGGGAGAGGCCCTAACTGAGCCCCTCCTCCGCCTCCTGAGCCTTGCACAGCGCACTGCCCACAGCAGGGCCAACTTAAATCCATCCATTCCCGGAGCACGACGAGGGCCCAGTGCAGGCCAGCAGGGGTGACAGCCCGGCCCCAGGGCCGAGAGTGCAACAGGGGAGACAAAACAGAGGAGACACGTGGATGTGAAGGAGATGTGGCCACCATCGTCAGAGTCAAGACGGGAATACACAGAGAAGGCCGGGGCATTGACTTCAGATGGGTGGTCAAGGAAGGCCGCTGGGGCTGGCATTCGAGGGGACACTGAGGAAGGGGACAGAGCCAGCCAGGCAGAGAGTCGAAGGAGGACTCTCCAGGCAGAGGAGACGGCAGGTCACAGGCTCAGCGGGGGCAAGCTTGGCACGTCTGAGGGACAGGAGGGAGGTGGGTGGCAGAATGGTCTGGAATGGTTGTCAGTGAAGGAAGGCGTAGGGTAAGGAGAGGAGGTCGCTGAGGAGGGAGAGGCTGGGGAGGAGAACGGGCAGCAGGGCGAGAGCGGTGAGGGTGGCTGCGCAGTCCAGTGAGGGCCGGCGGTGGCCGGGGCAACGGGGCAGCGGGCGGGTTCGGGGTGATATCTCGGATTCAGGGTGGAAAGGACAGTCAAGAAGGGACTTCGGCATTCATGCAGCAACCCCTTCCTTGCAGAGGAGGAAGCCTGGGGAGGGGCAGGGGCTTGTGGGGTCTCCCAGGGGGTGGGAATCAGACCCAAGTCTCAGTGGCAGTCCAGGTTGCACCACCTGGGGCTGGGGGCCGGGATCGCAGCCTCAGCTCGAGCCTGATGCAGGGGACGGGGCACGGGGCCTGGGAAGTGCTACTTGGGGCACTGCCCTTGGGGCAGGGGGAGAAGACCCCCAACTCACGTGGCAGAGTGAGGTCAGGGCAGGTGCTGGTGGAGGGCAGGAGAGGGGGCAAGGTGACCTTTGGTGACTCCAACACTGGCACTGGGCCTGGCCTGGGGGGCAGGGAGAGGACCAGGGATACAGATGCCCAGGACAGCCGTTTGCCAGATATTCCAGATGCCACGCAGCAGCCGTGGCAGCCTCAGGTGGGCCAGGCTCCAGCCTCGCCACTGAGCACCCAGCCAGGGCCTGGCGGCTCTGCAGCCCTCAGTGTCAGATGGGGGCTGTCCTATTGGAACCACGTGGCCCAGAGGGTCAGCTTTAGGGCTGCAGGGACCGCGGTCGCCAGTTTCCATGCGTCTCAGGAGTAATGAGTACCCTCTGCCCTGGGCAGGCCCCACCCACTGACTGCAGCCCTGTTGCCCACCAAGCATGTACAGAGCTGCTGCGTCTGCCTCAAGTCTGTGCTCCAAGAAGCCAGGATAATCATGCTGAGCTTGATCCAACCCTCTTACCATCTTTACAGGTAAACTGAGGCCCAGAGAGAGGCATCTAGGCTTTTAGAACATGGGAAGGCAGAATACCCAGCTGGCCAGGCCCACCGGGGTGGGTGGGGTAGGGAGGATGGGACTCAGTCTGGCCACGGCTCATGACAGGCAGGAGGGCCCAGCAGTGCCAGCCCTGTCCTGCACATCCACGCCGGTGGCTGTCTACTCACCGTGGCCGTCTGCTGCTGCGTGGCCTGGGCCGCAAACCGGGCCACGTGGTTGACGATGGGAGAGAAATTGGTGGGACCGTAGAAGCGGATGTGGGGCAGGCAAGCCGAGTACGCCTGGGCGATGCCGTCCACGCCTGCCTCGGGGAGAAGGGTCTGGGTCATCCCGGTCCTCCCTGCGCCACATCCACTCTCATCCCGACTGCTGACCAAGCGTCTGTTTCACGCTCACCCCAAAGGCCCCTGCCGAGGCCACTGCGGGCTCTGTGAGACTGGAAGCTCCCAGAAGGCAGGGCCAGGGTGGTATAAAGCAAAGAGCCCTGAATGTGGAGTCAGACAGACCTGAGTTCGAATCCTACCTTTGCCACTTCTTAGCTGTGGCACCTGGGGCGAGCTGTCTAATCTTTCCGAGCCCGTTTCCCTGTCTGTCAGTGGGACCGAGAATCCATACCCTTGTCCTGTTGGCCAGAGTAGGTCCCATGGGCTCTTCCCAGAGAAGGGGCGCGGCAAAGCCTGCAGTGGTGCTCTGGAGCATGGGAGGCCATCTGGTGGTCCTTCTGGACATGCTATGGCTTCTGCTCAGGGTTGGGGGTACTGACATGCTTGCACAGCCCCTGCACACAGTAGGTGCTCTGTGAACAGCTGCTGCTCCGAGCCGAAGAACGTCCCCTGCCCTGTGGCCCTGTCCAGACGCCTCTGGCTGGGGAGGAGGTTAACCCACCAGAACCTGGACAGAACGTCTCTGGTGACCTGCTCCAAACCACAGACCCAGCAGAAGTGCAGGGCCATGTTTCCGGCCAACAGATGCCCATGGCTTCTGAGTCTCAGCCTTGTCCCCGAGTTGGCAACTTGATGCATTTCCTTTCCAAGTACAAACCTGGCCCAGCTTCAGGGATGCCCAGGGAAGGTCAGTGCTACACTCAGCCAAACCCTAGGCTGCAAGGTGTCACGGCGATAGGGACCACCCTCCTCCACACCCTCCTGGGTCCCCTTCTCCTCCGATAGTTTCTTAACTGACTCTGGGAGGCCCAGGGGTGAGCACAGACACCAAGCTCACTTCCTGCCCCTTCCTCCTCTCCTCACCCCCCAAGAACCCTCAGTCTTTGGGTGCCAAGGCTCCTTGTCGAAGGTAGGGGGTGCAGGGTGGGGCAGGGCCAGGCCCTCCCAGCAAGGGCGGAGGGAGGTGAGAAGGCAAAGGCCCAGAGAGGTGCAGTGATCTCTCCAAGGTCACACTGCCGGGAAAGGGCAGCAGCTGCCTTGCATCCAGGACTGCCTGACTCCAACCTCCAGCTCTTCCCCATCTGTCACTCTGAGCACGTGTGAGGGAGAGGGGATGGGAGAAAAGGACGGAAAGCTGGACTCCGCCCCTCCTCCCCCCAGGGAGATGGCCAGGCCTGGCAGGAACCCAGGGCACATGCAGGTGGACCTGACACTCACCCGAGCAGAAGGGGTTGGTGGGGTTGAAGTTGATGGCAAACTCATGGGAGACCTGAAACACAGAGAAAACGCTGAGCTCACAGCCTCCCGGCCCCAAAACTGTGCCCAGGCCCCAGCCCCACCAGGCCAAGGCTCCCTCTGACGGCACCTCTGCTGCCTGACCCCACTCCCAGGCCAAGGCTCTCCAGACCCCCGCATCTGCTTTTGCCTCCACGGCTGGCTGCTCTGACCCACACGGAGGCCCAACCACCCTCACTTCACAATGGAGGAAAGAGAACATTCCACAGCCCTACAGTCTCTTCTGGGGGGGCAGGGCTGCCTAAGCCTCCTCGATCCACTAGGAGAGTCCCTCAGTGGGACAGAGACGCCTCTGAGGGCGGTGGGCTCAAGGAGCACTTGGAATGCCCTCTGTCACCCACTGTCACTCTGGTGGGGGCTGCAGTTAGTGTCCCACCTCTTTGGGCCCCCAGGGCTTCCCCCCATCTTCACAGTAAGCACAGCGCTGGGAAGAGACGCCCCGTCTGCCAGAGAGACAAGCCGGGGGTGCGCTGACAGCCCAATTAGAGCTGGGCTGGGGGTCAGGAAGCAGAATGGGGCCAGAGAGGGCTGTCACAGGTCCCCGGGGCCCAGCCCCGAGCCCAGGGGGAGCATCAAAGGCTGGCCCCGCACTCTCCCGGATGCCGCTGGGCCCACAATAATCTGGGAACACAGAGGGACCCTAACCAGACACCGTTCAGGGCTGCGGGGGCTCAGGAGAGGCCAGAGCGCAGATGGAGGACCCCCGCTCACCCTTCCTCCCTCTCCCTGCGGTCTCACAGCCAAAACCCCCAGCCAGTCCCCTTCCCACTGCATGCCACACCCCACACTCAGCGCTTTGCAGACATCCCCTCACTCCTACAATGACCCAGGGAGGAAAAGCCAGTTACTACCCATTTTCAGATGATGAAACAGACGAGAATGTTCCCATGGTCTCCATTTACTGAAGGGCAGAGTTGGGGCTGGAACTGGGATCCGGCTGCCTCCTGGGCTGCCCTTCCATGAGCCCACGAACCTCAGAAGGTGTTCCCCTCACGCGGGTTTTAAATTAGGAGGATGAAGAGGTCTCAGGGAGCCTCTGCCCAGTGAGAGCTTCAGTCTGGGCACAAACAATCCCAGACAGGCTCTTCAGCTCGGAGACACCACAGTGGGGGTGCTGGGAAATCCCACCAAGTCCAACATCCCCATTTTGCCAGTAAACAAGATGAGGCCCAGAGAGGGGAAGCCAGGTGCCAAGGTCACACAGCAGAACAGGCCTGAGACCCGAGCTCCTCATGCCTCCAAAGGGGTTGGACTCCCAGCCTTGGAGAGCCCTGCTGGACCAAGAGGGGAGGGGCTCGAGCAGGGGAGTCCGCCCTGTCCTGTGAGTGGCGGCTGGCCTGAGGCGAAGACCCCTGGCTGTTCTGGGGAATGCGCGTTTGCTCTTTGCTCCCACAGCTGAGAGCTGGCCTGAAGCCAGTCCCCTGATGTCCCTCTTGGGCCCTGTCCCTGCCCAGGGGCCTCTTCACCCTGTACCCAGTCTGGGCTCCAGGTGTGGGGACTGGAGGTCCTTGTTGCCATGGCAACTTCATGAGCCTCTATAGAGACGAACAGGGGGGCTTGTACGGAGGGGGCTGAGAGAGGAAAATGGTTGCCAGGGAAACGGGCCTCCCTTGGGCCAATGACTTCCCACAAAATCAGATTTTAGGAGATTTTAGAGACCAAGGGGGAGAAGCTCCCTCCTGAAAGGGATGGATTAATATTCGGCTTTCTCCGCCACCCAATCTCTTCATTCCCCACTCTTTGCCCTCTTCCTTTGCAGGAGGGCCTGGAGGTCAAGTGGGTGGGCCATAGGGGTCACCCATCCACCCCGAGGGCTCTCAGGTCCTGTGCTCCAGCAGCTCCATTTCACAGGTGGGAAACCTGCGGCTCAGAAGGGCCGGGGAACACCCAGGTCCCACAGTGAGCCCACAGAGCCAGGACTGGACCTGAGGCACAAGGGGCCGTGTTGCCCACGGCAGCCCAGCCCCCTCCCACGCTTGCTGCCTTGGTTTCCCCGAGACACGCCAGCAAACAGGACAAGCTTCCTGGAGGCCACGCCAAGCCGATTAGGGGCCCCTGGGGACCAGCCAGCCACAGGTCTTTGTCCTGGGGCTCCCTGCTGCCTTCTGACAATCAGTGGCCCCGTTCATCCCACCTGGCGGCCCTGTCCTGTGGTCAGTGAGTTAATTAAGAGGCCACTCCCTGTGGCCCTGGCAGGGGCAGGGCAGAGGAGGGGGGCACAGAGGGAGCTGAAGGGATCTCAGAGTGACCATCCTCTCGGAACCTCAGTTTCCCCATCTGTAAAGTGGGGAGAGTCATAAACTGTGCTCTTCCCCTCCCCAGACCTTTGTCCGAACCCTTCCTTCTGCCCGGTCCCTCTCTGCATTGGGGTAACTCTGCTCACTTGACGGTCCCAGCCTTCATGCCATCACCTCAGGGACAGGCTTCTGAGTCCCTCGGCCACCGGGCAGGGCAGGGATCCTCTCTGGGCTCACGGCGCCCAGGGCCAGGGAAAACTGAGGTCCCAAGGACAGGCAGCCGAGGGGCACGCTCCTTCTAGCTCCTTCCAGCTCCCCATCCTCAGAGAACCAACACCTCTGTCTGCTCAGGCCGCTGGGCCCCAGATTCACTGTCGACAGATAAGTACTGCACACCACGTGTGAGCCAGGAGCCAGGACACACTGAGCAACCAAGTGCCCCCGAGCGCTGAGCCCTGGAGGGAGATGATCAACACGCACAGCAACACATACAGAAGTGACCAGAGCTCCACAAGGACGGTGCGGGCAGGGAGGCGGGGCCCCACGTGAGCCCGCTCAGGGAAGGCCTCCCCGAGGGGATGACCTCTCGGCTGAGAAGTGATGTGGGAAGTCAGTGAAAGAGAACCACAGGCCAAGAGACCATGTGCAAAGGCCCTGAGGTAGGAATGAACAGAAGGTTCAAGTGGCAGCAGCAAGACGAGTTAGAATGGGAGGGGGTGAGGGGCCTGGCGGGCAGGCCGGGCAGGCTCTTGCGGCAGCGGGAGGTGGGGCTGAGCCCGGTTCCAGCATCCCTCCTGGCACCGCCGAGCACGCCAGCCCCGCCAAGCCCCAGCCTCCCCAGAGCTGCCCTGTGACATTTCCAAGGAGCTTTTTGCGCAAGAAAACGTCTCATTCAGCCAGAGTTCTTTGAAAGCTGGCTGGTGTCCTAGCAACGGGCTCTTGCTGGGCCTGGCCGCACCAGCCCGCCCTGCCCCCAGCGGCATTGCCATGTCTGCCCAGAGCCCCAGCTGTAGGCCCGCAGGATCCTGTCCCCCCCATACAATGGCCAGCAGGCCACTCCCTGAAATTCCAGATGAAAATCATCCTCCCCGGAGAGGAGGCGAGGGGAGCGCTCACTCTGGAAACGGCATGTGGACAGCAGGGCAGACGATCGGGGGCACTGGCTAAGACAGACCTGCAGATTTAGGAGCCTCTGTGCCCGCAGCCCCTGGCTCCTCATCAGAGAGGCGGCAGATTCTGAGAATAAACTTTAGAGTCCGTCTGCCCAGTTGGAACCCAGGCTCCCCGTTGTGAACATGACCTTGGGCCAGTCACTCCAGCCTCTGTTTTTTCACCTATAAAATGGACATCTCTCCATCCCCCCATCCTGCCTGCCCTCACCCCAGCCAGTCCCCGATCAGCAGCCAGAGTGGGCCTTCAAACATGCCAACTGGATTATGACACCCCTCGTGGACCCTGCAGCGGCAGCCTGTTGCTCTTTAATACGTGTTTGAGGCCCTGCCTGGCTGGCCCCTCTCCCAGCCGCATACCTCTCCATCCTGCCCACCTTCCATGGCGAATCCATCATGCCCACTTTCTTTCAGTTTCTCCAACTCCCCCTGCTCCCTCAGCCTCCCAGACTTTGCACAGAATGTTCTCTCTGCCCTGAACACTCTCCCTGCCCCATCACCACCCCCGGTCCCTCTGCAAACTCCTACTTTCCCTTTCCCTCTTGGCTCGGACCTTGCCTCCTCCAGGAAGCTTTCCCTGATACCCCAGGCCAGAAGGGTCCTCTTCTGGGCTCCTCCCAGGCCCGTGCTACCCCATCTCAGCACTGATGACCCTGCCTGTCTTCAGGGTTGCCAGATGGAATACAGGATGCCCTGTTCAATTTGAATTTCAGATAAACAAGGCATAGTTTTTAGTATAAGTATGTCCCAGGCAATGTTTAGAACACACTTATACTTAAAAACCTTGTTTATCTGAAATTCAAACTGAACTGGGTGTGCTGTTTTTATATGCTAAGCTAGCATCCTACTTGTCTTCCCCACCTGACTCGGGTACCAGGGGGCAGAGGCCACAACTGTCCTGCCCCTTGTTATCGCCCCGGTGCTTGCGTGAGGCGCCGGCTGAGAAACAGGTGTGGGGTCGAGGGAAACGCAGAGAAGGCAGAGCAGCTGCAGCCCCAGCGCCAGCCCTTTCCAAAGCAGACCCCGGAGAGGCCGTCCACGTGAACCCCATCTCCACCAAAAGAGAAGAGGCCGGCCTCACTCACCTTCCAGTCTGGGGGTAACTGGGCCCCAAAGCCCAGAGCCGGAAACATCTTGTCACTGATCAGAGAGAGGAGGAGAAACTGTGAGACAGCTGGACAGGGCCTCACCTTCCACGCCCCCCTCACCCCCCCAGGGCTCGGCCCACTCTGCCTTGCACACCCCCAAGGACAGAAAGACAAAGCTCACCACCCCTAGAAAAAGCTCTGTTCAATGAGCTGAGCCCAAACCCACCTCTGGGCACCTGGTGACCCCATCTGCACCTGTGGCAGACATTGCTAATCAACCACAGCACTTCTAACCAATGGGCCTGGGTGCAGCTTCTAGATCCTTCTCAAACTGAGACCTCGGGCAGCCACTAAACCAAGGTCGTGGTGGACGTGAAATGGACTGCCTGTCTCTTGACCTCCCTTTTATGGCTTGGAAGAACTGTCCTAAAATGAGAACTCTGGCTTAGCACTCAAGGCCCTTCATCATCGGGCCCCACAGCCTAGTCTCATCTCCTTCCACCTGTTGTCCCTCACAACCTACTCCCCTAGCCCTGGCCACTTGCTGTCCCCAAACACACAGGGCACCTTCACACTCCAACTTCAATCCTGTCGTGTCCCCTCCTGAAACACCTCTCCTCAATCTGTTCCCCATGGCAAACTCCTACTCATCCTCCAAGGCCCAGTTCAAATGGTCCCTGATACCCCAGGATGCTGCTCTCTTTGGTGCTCCCACAGCTCCTGCCTCACGTGTAAACTGGTGTCTCGGGACTGCGGTGATTTCTTCCCCTTGAGGAGGGCTTCCCCGAGGGCAGGGACCCTGTCACATCTGTTCATTAGTTCAACAGCTATTTATCGAGGCTCCCCCTGGCGTGTGGAGGACAAACCGTCAGGGGCCAGGGCAGAACAGGGGGCCAGTGAGGAGGCTACTGAAGCGGTCTGGGCAGGAGGTGATGGTGCTCCAGCAGGCTGGGAGCAGTGGGGAGGGAGCAGAGGTTGGATTCAAGGATGTTTTGGAAGGATCTGCTGAAAGGAAGAGGGAGGAGATGCGGGAAAGGAGTGAAGGCTTCTGGGGAGTGGTGCTGCCTCTCAGTGGGATGGCGAGAGGGACAGGGAGAGGGGCAGGAGCAGGGCAGGGCTCCAGTGCTCGCTCGGCGGGGCCTTGCTCAGTCTGAATGCCCGTGAGAAGGCTAAGCGAGAGGGCTGAGGGGGCAGCTGGAGCAGCGACAGCAGGCTCCCCGACCCGACCACGCAGATGGGACTTCCACCTCCCTTGCTCTGCATGTCCTACTTCTTTTAATGTGGCCTAGGATCACAGCCGCCCCTTAGGCCCTGAGCCTCCTGGGAGTCAGAGGATGGTCCTCAGGTTGCCTCTCTCGAGGAGGCCAAGTGCACACAGGATCCCCGAGTCTGCTCTCGTTCCTGCCAGGTCTCTGGCATCGGCACCTTCCTCCTCTGCTCCCCATGTGTTGGCCTCCTGGTCACTCCACCCTCCGACCTGGAGGTCCCAAGGAGCACCACCTGTGACAATGACGCCACAACCCTCAAGTGACTCCTGGATCCTCCAGGGCTCTCTGGACTTCGCATCTGGCCCATGCTGTTGGTGGCCACACCCTCTTCACAGCTGTCTGTCCCTGCCTTTCCACCGTCCCCACCCGAAGTCCTCCAGGAAGCATGGCGGGCAGGGAAGAGGCTGCTCCTCTGAGGTTCCCAACAGGAGCGAGGCTGTCAGGCTGTGAGGACCCGGGCCCAGGAACGAGAATGTCTGGCTTCCAGTCCTCCTGATCCATGTGACTCTGAACAAATTCTCCACCCCACCCTGGGCCTCCATCTCCTCCGCTCTGAAACGAGAGCTTGCAGCAACAGCAAAGCAGTGTCACCTTCTATCTTGACTCATTCCCTTACTGGCTATTTGGTGTGCTTTGTGGAGAAGGACCCCGTGTGGATCTGGGCTCGGTAGGTAAGAGTTCAGCAATCGATTAGCAATGTCTGCTACAGGGATCAGAATGGGCAATAATGGCACATATGCCATGTGCTGGCCATTCCTAAATTTGGTGATCTCTGGGTCCCTTCTACCTTTGACAAAATGAGCTTCTCAGGCTGGACGGAACCCGAGCTGACCTTCAGAGTCCCTCCCCAAGCTTACCTGTCATAATCCTGGATGATCTGCCCGACAGCCCAGATGGCTGACAGGTATTCGTTGGTGCCCATGGGGTTGATATAGTGCAAAGAGGACGGGTCAAGGGGATTCCCGTTGGAGGCTGTGAAGTCTATCCCAACCTGCAGAGTGGGGAAAAAGGCCCCCCAGTATGGCCAGAGACCCCAGCTCTCTATCTTACCCCCAGGGATCAGAGAGGCTGACGGGACATGGGAAGACCTGAAACCTGGAAACTGTCTGATTGTATTACTCCTCTGGCTCTAATGCCATCTGTGGCTCCCTATTGCCCAAGCATAAAGTCTATGGCCCAGATGTGACACAAGGCCAACTTACAGCCTCTAATTCCTTTCTCCCCCCACTGTCACTACCCACCCACTTATCTGTTCCCATTTCCAGGCCTTTATTCATAAGGTTCCTCTGCATGAAGAGCCAGGCCATCTTTTCTCCCTATCCAGTTCTCCTCCATCTTTTAGGCCCAATTCAAATGCCACTGCCCCAGTAAAGCCTCCCCAGATGCCTCGCTGCCACCCCAAGCCATCTCCCCACCATCCCTCAGACCCAGGGGCCCTGGACCTGGTGCTGCCTGGTCGGGCAGGGCCGGCTCCCCACCAGACTCATCGCAGGCCAGACCCCTGCCTCCAAGGAGCCAGGTCCAGGGCTGGGCACAGAGCGCCGGGCTGGTGCTCCACAGGGACTGGGGCGACGCGTGGGCAGGGACCCGGGCTCCACTGCTCTCTCAACCCAAGAGAAGCCTAGCCCAACCCCAGAGGAGCCGCACGGAGCCTCGGCCAGGACTGCACAGCAGCGGCGTTAGGAGAGGGACCCAGGGCAGAGCCGGCCGCCTTGGAACTTGGTGACCGTGGGCTGAGGCTGCTCCCCAAGGTCAGGGTGGCATGTCCTAGTCCTCCAGGGACCCCTGCAGGGCGCAGGCTAGAGCATGGCACACGGGAGGTGCTCAGTACGCATTTGCTGAATGACACCCGCACACAGGAGGAACAGGAGGGCCCGGCCTCTCTGTGGGGGAGGGGAGGGGCTGTGGACCAGCGGGGCTAGAGGTCAACAAGGCCAATCCCCTGGCTCCACATAGTCCTGCAGACGGCCTGCAGCCCCCATGGGATACAGAGGTGCTGAGGGAGAGTGCTGAGGCAAGGCAGGAGGTGGGCCAAGCCTGGGACCCCAGCAGGCCTCCCGCTGGGCCTGGGCCTTCCCTCCGGGTGAGCCACAAAAGACCAGGTGAACGGGGCACACTCCAGGTCCCGGGCAGAGGGACAGTCCATTCTTTCAAGCAGCATGTGCTGAGCACCTGCTTCCTGCCGGGACCGTGCAATGTGCTGAGCCCGGAGCCGAAACAAGACAGTCCTGCCCTGAGGGCACTCAGTCTAGTGGGTGGACCAACAGGCACCAGCGAGAAATACTCAAGATCATTTCAGAGTGCCCTGAAGACAGTGAAATAGGAGAAGCGACAACGAGGAACTGGAGGCATCGGGGGAGGTGACAAGGAGGTGACCGCTGTGCCACGGCCTGAAGGATGGCAGTGCGGCAGCCAGGAGAAGGTGCCGGGGAAGAGCGTTCCAGGCAGAGGGAACAGCAAATGCAACGCCCGAGGACAGATGAGCCTGGCACGCTGGGGGACAGTGAGGACCAGTGTGGATGGAGCCGAGGGAGCCGGGAGGAGGGGGTGGCAGGCGAGGTGAGGCAGGAAGGCCTGTGGCCAGTGAGGAGGAATCTGGCTTTTTTCCTTCTGTAGGGGTGTAGCCTGCGATGCTCCGAGGCCTGGGGGCCAGGCCCTGACCTGCCGCTGAGCCCTGACTCAGGCCCTTCGGCCTCTGCCCTCTCCTCTGGGCCACACCCCCCTCGCCCTGGCAGGATGCTGGGGGTGGCGGGGGAGCCTTACGGTGAACATGAGCTGGCAGCCTCCCAGGATGTAGTCCAGGAAGGAGTAGTCTCGGCTTATCTGGAAGAAAGCGGGGGATGAGGGAGCCGCCCTGCACCTGCGGGCTAGCCCTCCGCCTGGCCACACTCCACCAAGGACCTGAGAGCTGCTGCTGTCAGCCCTGAAACCTCCCTAGGGTCAAGGAGGCCCAAGGGCAGACGGACAGGATCTGATGACCACAAACCCAGATCTCTGTGGAACCAGGCACTCAGAGCAACGGTTCCCAGCGGGCGGGGGGCACACAGACACAGACGCAGCGCGACGCCAGGCAGGGTCCCAGGGCCCAGCGGCAAGCACACCCACCAGTTACATGGCTCGGAAAGCTGCGACTGGTGGCTCTTCACTGGGAAGCCCTCTCGAGCCCTCGCCAACCTCCACTTTCAACAGAGAGCGGCCGGGCCTCTGGCCCAAGGCCTTCTGCTATAAATTAACAAAGCTGCTAAAACACTGCGTTTGTTTTGATGCTCTTTGCTTCCTTCTGGCAAAGGATATTGGCCTTCCAATTTTGGTGGAGTTATAAGGGTTCCTTTCAAAATAAATGTATTTAAGTAAAAAAAAGAAACCAGAATGAGGGGAGGAGGCAGGCTGATTATAACAAAAAATAAGTATGGCAGTGCCCAGAACCATGAAAGGGGGATGTGAAGGACAGGTTTCAGAAACAAGGCCCCGAAATCACGACGCTGCAACCGACAGCTCACTTCCTCGGCGCGCCTGGGCGTGGGACCCCACCAGACGCTCACGCGGATGCCGTTCGACAGCGCCGCCTCCAGACCAGGACACAAGGCCTGGGGTCCCGGCCCGCCAGCTGGCAGAGGGAGTGCCAGGACTCACTTGGAACCTTCCGGCCCAGCGCCCAGCTCTCGCTGCCACGGCCCAGGTGGCTCCCTTAACATCCCGCCCAACTCCGCCAGATGCCTGGCTCCCAGGTATCGGGGGTCCTGGCCCCTGACCTCTGCTGTGTGCATTTGCTGCCTTGCTGGGCCTCAGTGGCCTCGGCTACCCCACGGGAGTCACGGTTACCCGAGCCCTCACTGATGTCGCTGCCAGAGGACAGGGTGCCCCGCCGACGTCCTCTGCCCCCCGGGGATGCCCACCATGCAATGGACGAGCCACCAGCCTGGGGAGGAGCCACTCTCTACAGTGACCTCCAACCAGGAGAGGGCCCGGGAGGTCATCTCGTGACCTCCGCACAGGAACGTGATAGGAGACTAACCCTTCACGCTCGACCTCGTTAACACCCCCATCCTCCAGATGAGGAAACTGAGGCCCAGAGAGGCTAGGCTCAGGAGGTCACAGAGCCAGGACACGGCAGAACCAGGATCTGCACCCACGCCCCGCTGGCTCCATTCCCGATGAGACAGCTCTGTCCATCTCTTCTGCGTGACCCCTGCCCGTGCGACCCCTGCCCTGTTCCCGCCCCCGCCGCCCACCTTGCAGGAACGCAGGATGATGATGCCCGAGTTTTTATAGTTCTTTTTTTTCTTCTGCTTCTTGGGGTTGATGCACTCGAACTCCAGCTGGGCAACACAGGAGAGAAAGGCAAGCTCAGCTCAGGGCTTCCACGGGGACTGACCCTCCCCCGGGCCCCAGAATCCCCTCCACAGCATTGACCAGGGCCAGCACGCCTCCTCCAGGAAGCCTTCCTGGACGTCCACACCAGAAATGGTTCCTGTCACCCTGGGCTCACACCAGGCTGTGCCTGCCCAAGGTGGGCGGCTCTGCATCTGTCCCCACCCCAGACAACCCACCTACATCCTGTCTACTCATGCACCCAGAACTGTCACCCAGGACCCAGCTCCTTGGGGTGAGTTTAATGGATAGCTCCTGAGGGCTCACCGTGTGCCAGGCACTTTACCAGTGTCATCTCATTTAATTCCCACTCTACTCCTCTGCCCCTATTTGACAGGTGGGGAAACTGAGGCTCAGAGAGAACGACTGTCTTGCTTAAGGTCATACAGAGACAGGTGGGGTCTGAGCCCCTGATTCAAAACCTGTGCCCATCCCCATGCCCTGCTGAGGTCTTGGGGTCCCGCAGGCACCCAGCTCACCGGGACGCCATCCCGAGCAGCACACATCTGTGACACTGAGGTCTGGAACTCGCCGATGAAGTCGTGGCCTCCATCGTTGTCATAGTCGTAGCACATGACCTGGGTGGGTCCAGTGAGGTCACCCCAGAGCTACCCCCCAAAGCAGTGCTCTCCAGCCCCTCTCAGCTTCCTGAGCAGACCCCATGTCTTCGTTTTGGTGGTGCCTCCCTCTCCCCCCAGCATCTGCCTAGCTGGCCTGGGATCACGGTGTTACCTCCTGAACTGCCTCCTACAGGAAGCCTTCCAGGATTGCTGGAAAAAGAAGAAAGCGTGCCCACCCCACCAACAGAGGCTGTACCCTCTGGTGCAGGAAGCTCGACTCCTCACACACCTGTCACTCAGCTTGCCATCTGTCTTGGGTTGTGGCCCACTTGGCCTCATAGGCCACGGCCTGGAGCTTCTTTTAGATGTTTTTTCCCCTGAGATGGGCACAAAACCCCCCAGCTTTGCATGCTAACTCAGCTGCAGTGACACTCCTAGGAGGAAGGCAGGTATTTTCGTACCCATTCCATTGTACTGATGGGTAAACCGATGCCCTGAGAGGGAGACCCAAAGCCTCAAAGTGGCAGTCCAGACTCAGCTGTCCTGGAACCCTGTTTGGGGATCCCGCCCTGGCCTGGCCGCCTCGCTGCCCCCATCTGCTCAGACATGGCCCCTGAGGACTGAGGGCTTTTGGAGACCAGGAGTCATGGTCTTCATCACAGCGACAGCGCCTGGCCATTTCCAGGCGTTTCCGCATCCAGTGCCTCAGCTAGTAGCACCGCAGCCCTCGGGAAGGAGGCAGGCGCCATTCTGTGCCCGTCTCAGAGAAGGGCCCGCAGAGACGGGGGCCCTGCCCAGATCACTCAGAGGGTCAGGCAGACCTGGGACCAGGACCGGGCCCCGCCCCGCGGTGGGTGCTCTTCCTGTCTTAATAAGAAAGAGCTCTGCTAAGGCCCCCCCCCAGGAAGCCTCAGGCAGACGGGGCGGGAGGCTGGAGCCAGAAGGGTGGGGAGCCCCCTCACCTGGACGGGCTTCTCCATGTCCCCATCACACAGGGACACCAATGGCACAGTGAACGGTTTCCACACGGGGTCCAGCGTGTACTTGATCACCTGCAGGACAGTGAGGGGCGAGGGTGGGCTCAGGCCCAGAGGCAGCAGTGCTCTGGGGTCGGGCCAGCCCAGTGGGGATGGGGTGGCAAGACGGAGAGGCCCACAGCCACGCTTCTGGGGATGGAAGTGAGCATCCCCGTGGCCAGGAGGGAACAAGTCCTTTGGGCGCCATCATGGGTTTTCCTGCGCACTGCACGGCTGTGACTGCACAGCCCCATCCTGCGCTGTGGGGGTGGCCCTGCTGCAGACCCACTGGCTGGGAGACCCCCGGGCCCCCAGGCACCCACCTCAGTCCTGTGGACCAGCATCCACTTGCCATCATCTCCTGGCTTATAAAACTCGAGAAATGGGTCTGACTTCCCAAAGAGATCCTGGAGGAAGCAGGAGGACGCGCGTGAGGGCGGCACAGCTCTGGCTCCAGATGGGAGCAGGGTGTGGCCCAGCCGCCTCACCCACCCAGCATCAGGGGTGGCAGCCGCGGGCAGAGCCAGCTGGGCCCCCTGCCCTCGACCTCCGCAGGGCTAAGCAAGAGGCCCAGGGCAGCCGCGGCCCCCGGGACCAACCGGCTCCCCCAGGAGAAGCCAGCCCATCCAGGGGCCCCAGAGCTTGTGCTGAGAGACCCTGAGACCTGGAGCCCGCGGGAGTTCCACCTGCAGCCTCTCAGATGGGGCACGACTTCCAAAGGGTGACTGTCCCCAGTGCAGGGGAGGCCCCCAGCAGGATGTGATTTCAACTTATCTTAGTGGGGATCTGAACAACTGAAACTATTCAGCACATTACAGAAAAGATATGATGTCCTCTAAAAAGCCATTTATTTAGGTTAATAAAGTGTCAAGCTAAAGAACCTACATTCAAGTGGGGGAGACAGAATTTAAAAAGTAAACAATACATGTTAGGCAGTAATTAGCGTTAAAGAAACAAGTAAAATATGAGGGAGTGGGAAATCAGGGACCACTGCAGTTTGAGGAAATGCTTCCCTGAGGAGGTGACATAAGAGCAAAGGTTTGATGGGGGTGAGAATACTCAGGGAAATGATCACTCCAGACAGAGGGAATAGCAAGTGCAAAGGTCCTGAGGCAGGAAGGTGTCTGGTATTATCCTGGGACAACGAGGAGGCTGATCTGGCTGAAGCAGAATAAAGGTGGGGAGAGTGGAAGGGGTGAGGTCAGGGGGTCAGGGGGCTGTGACACATCCAGTGGGGCCCCATTGGTTACTGCAAGGATCCTAGCACTTACACTAAATGAGATAGGGAGACCCAAGGAGTGGGTTTCCTGCCACGTCTTGAATACCTCTAAGTGAGGGAAAACTCACTACTCAGGGGTTAAGAGGTGGCCAGTAGAGCCCTGTGCTCTGGACCGGTCCCTGGGGGGTGATGAAGGTGGTGGCCAGAGCCCCAAGGCTAGGCCATGTGACCCTGGGGCTGAGGAGGGACACTGCTCCCTGGCGGAGAGCCCCCTCCGCTGCCGGCTCACCTTCTTGTCCAGCTTCCTGCCCGCCAGGCTCAGTGTGACGACCCGGTTATCCGACAGCTCCTGGGCCGCGATCTGTAAGGCCAGAGGAATGGGGGGGGGGGGGGGTCAGGACCTGCTCCTTAGTCCCCCCCGCCTCCTGACTGTGCCCCAGGAGTCAATTCTTCAGGGCAGGAGGGGGAAGAAGGGGAGGGTGCCAGGCGAACTCGGACAAGTCTCTCGTCTTCCCTAATTCCCAGTCTCCATCTTCTGGAAAATGCTGTAAACCATCTGGATATGAGGAACCAGGAACTGACCCCACGGGGCTCAGGAGAGGGGGCCATGGGATGGCGGGAGGACATGAAGCAGGGACCAGACTCGAGGGGTGATCTTGAGCCCTGAGGAGAGGTTCTGGGCCAGGGAGCCGCCTGACAGGCCCCCTGAGGTCCCCAGTGCAGACCCAGAGAGCACAGCCACCTCAAAACCCCAAGGCCACAGGAATTCCAGCAACTTCACTATACAGCCAGGGAAAGGGAGGCCCGGGCAGGGACGGGAGCCACCTGAGCTCCCTCTGCGGTCCCATCGGCTCACACTGTCATCCATCCTCCAGGCCTTCCCCATCAGCCAGGGCCCTCTGGCCTCAGCCCAGCCAGGGACCGACCAGCTGGGTGACCCCGAGGCTGCCATCTGCCCTCTCTGGACCTCTCTCACCCCCTCCCCACAGAGTGGCAGGCATAGCCCTCAGGCCAACAGCCACAGCGGGCTGCATCCTCTCTTGGCTGGGGCTTCCTCTCCCCCACACCTCTATGACGGCCTCCCCCAACAAGCTAGGCGACCCTCCAGAACCCCAGACAGAAGCCGGGCTGATGCCCCGCCCCCCTTCCTCTCCTCCGGCTGACACCTGCTCAGCGACCTGCAGGGCAGGTCCTATTATTGACCCCTTTTCACAGAGGAGGGACAGAGGCCCCTAGTGGAACCACTGGAAGTGCCAGAGGGGACGGTACTCGGGCTGGGTGGGGCCGGCCCGCAAGCTTCCAGGTGGACGGGAGCCGGCTGGGGCGGGAAGGTATTTACATGGGAGGTTTCGAACTCCGAGAGGGGGGGGAGGTTGGGAGGGGACATTCCGGGTGGCAGGAGCAGAGGTTAAGGGCCCGGGGTATATGCAGGGTATGCTAAGAATTCAGTGTGCCTTAACCCGGGTCATGAAGCGGGTAAAACACACCGAGGCAGGAGAGCGAGGTGGGGACTCCCGGGTCCCTCGGGCGGCGGGGTGTAGGGAGGTTCCAAGGCAGGGGGGTAACGCCCCGCACGCACACAGAGACCCCTCCGCCCTGGCACCGCCAGTTCCCTCCGGGGCAGCACACGGCTCCCAAGGGGACCGGCGACAAGCCAGGAGAGTCTGTCTGGCTGAACCGCCCCGGGGCGCTTCCTGTCTGGCTTCATTCGGTTCCCTCCTCTGTAAAACGAGGTTGCCCTGCCTTCAGGGAGGGTGAGGCCCGAGGAGGTCGGAGGGGAAAGGGCCTGCGCAGCACGGGCACCGCCGAGCATCGCGGAAATCATTGCGCCATGGGAATCGTTGCGCATCGCGGGCACCACCGCGCACCTCGGGCATCACCGCGCATCGCAGCCACCAGCAGAGCTCGGAGGAGCCAGGCGCTTCTGAACGACCCCCAGGGAGGACAGTCAGGGGCCAGTGCGGGGAGGGGATGCTGGGAGGGCGCTGGAGGCCTCCAGGGAGGAGTCGGAGCGCCCCTGCCCAGGGAGTAGGAGGCCGTTGGGGCCTCTGACAGCCCCCCTCCCCACAGCTTGGCAGCCCCCAATGCATCATATGCGGAGCCAGGAGCCCGTTGCTAAGAGACCTGTTGCTAAGTTGTAAGTTGGGCTTTTTACTCCAAACAAAGCTGGTGATTATCTGCCAGGCAAGAGGCCCATTGATGGAGGAAGGCAGCGGGCAGAGGCGGAGCGGGGGAGGGCGGGGAGGGGGCCAGTACCGTAATCAGGCCCTTCCCCGCAGGCTTGTCATTCATCAGCAGCAGAGGCCGAGTGATCTTCTTGCTGGAGACGATCTTCGGGGAGACAGGAGAGAGAGGCGCTCGTGAGGGATGGCGCGGAGGAAAATGCTCAACAGGCGCCCCTCACAGCTCGTGCTCCACGCCGGGAGCTGGCTAAACCTCCCGCGGTGCGATCCTCCTCACCGGAGGCAGACAGCAGCCTGCTAACCCCAGGGGGCGGCTGAGGAGACTGAGGCTCAGAGAGGTTAAGACACTCGCCCAAGGTCCCACAGCTGGGATGGAATCCGGGCAGTCCGACCCCCACCAACCTGGCTGCCCCCAGGAAAAGGCTCTTGTGAAGCTCCCGTTCTGGAGACAACTGTAGGGAGTGTATCCCCCTGTCTGCCCCCACAAGCCGTCCACAGCCGCCACCTTCCCTAGGGTCTGATCCCGGATGGAGAGGCTCAAACCCTGACTCCTGTGTGTTTCCACTGTTTGAAGAGGGAGGACATTCACACAGGGTTCAGCGGTCACTACAGCACAGAAAGGAGGAGTGGAGCATATCGTAAAGTCGCCCTACCCAGCCCCTGAACACCCCATTCCCACACGCAGCATAGGACCCCGCTTCTCCTGGAAAACGGCCATGTGTCTTTGTGCCGATATGAGCACGTTCCTATTCACCCGGGGCTGGTCTGTCTCCCCAGGCCACTCTCTGCCCTTCCCGCCTGCTCTGTGCCACTGTGGCTGCGTCACCCGCTCCCCCTGCCTCTGGCTTTCGGGGGTTCACCAATGGGGGCGCCAGCAGGAGCCGGGAGAGCCGGGGGGCACGGCTGGGCTGCGGTCTGGCAGGAGCTCTGCTGTTTGTCGCCGGCCTCAGCTGAGTCCAGGGCCCCCCCACGGCCACAGCTCTCGCCATGGCCACAGCTCTCGCCATGGCCACAGCGCTTCCGGTCCTGCCCCTCCCTCCAGGCTAGAGCGCGGCTTCCTGCCGGTGTCAGGCCCTGTGGCCGCCCCTCGTCCTGAAGCCTCTCCTCGGTCACCCTGGAGGGTGCAGCCCCGCGGCAGGGACCTGACGGAGCGCCCCGCTTCTTACACAGCTGTAGGGCCCCTACTTTTCTCATTGACTGTCGCCTCTTGGAAGGCCCAGGGCATTTCAATCTCCACCAGGTCCTCTCAAAGCATTTCCCGCTTTATTCCCTCCCCAACCCTCCAGGCTGGGTGGTCATCATTAACTCGCTGACATGTGGGGACACTGAAGCCCAGAAGCAGGTGGGGCTTGCCCAAGGGCACATAGCTAGAAACGATGACTGGAACTTCTGTCGGGGGCTCCTAGCCCTGTTCCTCCCCCCATAAGCTCACCAAGGACTGAGCTGGATGGGGAAGTATGGCCCAGAGGAGGAAAGGAAGTTACCCAAGGTCACACAGCAAGCCAGCCTTGAAGTGGGACTACCAGGGGTGTCTTGGCTGCTGTCGGATGCCCCTACCCCAGGAAGCCAAGACCACGCTTCATCACTTCTAGCCATCAGAAGCTCTGGCCACGTGGGGTCCCCATTCCTGGGTGCCAACAACGGGCTGGCACTGTGCTCCATGTCTTCCGGTGGGAGCTCTTCAGCCGGGCCCCCAACCCACAGGCTACTCCCCCTTCCTGTGCCTGCCGGTCCCCAAGGCCAGGAAAACAGGGCTGGGGAACGCAGGGGGCAGGAGAGACTCTCCGAGGGGCCGCCGTGTCCCTGGGAGCGGGGTGAGGCCCGGGGGTGGGGGGGGGCCCGCCCCGCCCGCCTGCAGGAGGCCCGCTCACCGTGCCCAGGCTGCAGGAGAACTGGCCCAGGAAGTCGTGCTCGTCGAGCTGCGCGCTGGACTTGTCCTGGTCGAACAGGGCGAACTGGAGCTTCTGCACCTCCTCAAAGTGGTAGTCCAGCACAAACTTCTTGGAGAACGCGGGGTTGAGGTTGTTGACTGCGGTCTCTGTCCTGTCGTACTGGCAGAGGGGCAGAGGAACGAGGAACGGGAGTCAGGCGTTGGTTCCCCGCTTCCCGGGCTGCTGGACACCATTCTGCTACCTGGCTGAACACGTCTCTGTGCCGGGCACTCACAGCCAGTTAGTTACCTGGGTGGCTGAAGCGATTCTTACTCCCAGCTCACAGAGGAGGACACTGAAGCACAGAGAGGTTAAGTGACTTACCCAAGGTTGAACAGCTAGAGGGGCAGGGCCAAGATTTGAACCCAGGTCTGACTCTAGCGCTCACGTTCTTAACTCTCTGGCCCTGGCTCCATACATACCCAGGTGCCAGGGTAAGAGCTCGGCCCTGTCCCTTCCTAGGTAAGTGACAGAGAGCAAGTCCCTTTTCCCATCTGGGCCTCGGTTTCCACTTCTGCAAAATGAAGGGATGTGACCATCTTTGGTTTTCATCCTTTTTATTTTGGGAGAGCCCTTCATTCAGCCCACATTTTACATGGAAGCTGAGAGAGGACACAGAAAGAAGGAGGAGTGCTTATGGGGAGGTGGGGTCGGCCCCCCCCCACACCCCCCAGGCAGAGGTTGTGCCCTGTATAGAATCCTGGGATGTCAAAACTGGCAACCGTGCGGCCCCACAGCCCCCACCTACTGGGGAAGCTGAGGCTGGGTAAGGACAGGGCCGTGTACTGTGGGGCTGGGCCAGGAACCCCGCCTCTTGGTCTCGTGACACTGAGGCCCCAAACCGCGGAGTCTGGGTGATGGTCTATTCTGGGGCCGGGGCCGTGCTGACCTTCCTCCCGCCCAGTCCATCTCCAAGGGCTGGAGCAGCCGGGAGGGACGAGGTCCTGGCCTCGGGCTATTTTTAGCCAGGGTGGCCGGCCTGGGTGGGACAGAGGCCGTCAGGGGGTGGGGAATGCCATGAGTGGGGGCGGGGTGCCGTGGGGGAGGACGCCACTCGCTGAGGGGCAGCCGGGGGTGCCGGGGGCCTGGCAGAGGACAGCAGGGTGCTCCAGATCTGCCAGGTCTGGGGCTCCCCCCAGGAGGCCTCGGCTCACCCCACGTCCCACCTCCCACTTCTGGCTGCACCACCAATGCACTGGGTGGCACAGCGGAGTCCCCACTGGCCCTGGACCTCCGTTTCCCCTCTGTAAAATGGGTCCGCAATCTCAGCACCACCTCCTGGGCACGAGAATTAGGACCCAACGCCTGTGGAAACTCTGCGTGAACCACTGTGTGTCCAGTCGGATGCCCACTGCGGCCCAGTTAAATAACTATAAAAATAGATACATATTTTGGAAAATGTACACGCATGTAAAACTATCTGGAAGGCCAGATACCAGACGTTAACAGTCGATCTCCCCGATGGGCAGGCTCCCAACCGTTCTGATTTTTTTCTTTAGGTCTATCTGGATTTTCCAAATTTATTACGATGACTATAAACCCCTTTGGAATAGGAACCAAGCAATTTTTGCAACTTAACAGTGTAGATTTCTCAACATCCTTCCTCCAGCTCCGTCTCTCCCCAGCCCTCAGGACAAAGTCTGCCAGCGCAGAAGTCCTGGGTGGAGGCACCATCCACATCCCCAGGTGGGGCTCTCCAAGATAGGCAAGGACAAAATCCTCAAGTCACAGATGAGGAGACAGGCTCAGGGAGGGACAGTCACTTGCCCAAGGCCACACAGCAGGGAGTGACAGAGCTGGGTCTTGGTCCAGCTCCTGGACCAGAGCCTGAATTCTCAATTTCTCTGTTCACTCCTCAATGTGTGTTCATTTAGGAATAAGTGTGGAAGGTTATTTAAAAAGTGGAAGCGGGGCCAGCCCAGTGGTGCAGCAGTTAAGTTCGCACATTCCGCTTCTCTGCGGCCCAGGGTTCTCCAGTTCGGATCCCAGGTGCGGATATGGCACTGCTTGGCACGCCATGCTGTGGCAGGTGTCCCACACATAAAGTAGAGGAAGATGGGCATGGATGTTAGCTCAGGGCCAGGCTTCCTCAGCAAAAAGAGGAGGATTGGCAGCGGATGTTAGCTCAGGGCTAATCTCCCTCAAAACAAAAAAAGTGGAAGCAAGGATTTTGTAAAACTCAAGATTTTAACTAGCTATTATAATAATTTAAAATATTATGATATAAAACAACAAACATAAAATTGTATAATTATAAATAGAAATCTATGAATTATAATAACCTAAACACAAATATAATTATTTTAAGTAATTTTGTAAATATATTTTAAATAAAATTCAATTTGAAAAGCAACAATTTTCTAAATCACTCCCGGCCTACACTCTAACTCCATCCAAGGGCCTGACCAGAGGTCCCCGGATCCAGCGGGAGCCCCTCCCCAGCACCCCCACCTGCCACCCACTGCAGACGCACACGGTGGGGCCTCACCTCGATCCACCGGCCATTGTTCTCCGTAAAGAGGACACAGAAGGGGTCAGACTTGGAGGTGATGTCCCGGTCCAACAAGTTCTGGCCACTCACCGACAACTCCACCTTGCACACGCAGTACTGGGAGCCCACGGGGGCGGCCCCCCGTGCTGGGGCACCCCCGCCCGGTGTGTAGGCCATGGGGGTCGGCGGCGGCAGCAGTTCCTGGCAGTCTAGGGGGAAAGGGGAGGGGGTCAGAGGGCACAGACATCAGCTAGTCCACTCCACCCTGGGGGGCGTCACCCCGACCTTCAAGATGTGCGTAGAGAGATGGAAGGAAAGGGGTGTGTGTCGGGGGGATAACACACGCCAAAGCTTGGAGGAAGGAGAAAGCAGGAAATGCATCAAAAAGGAGTCTCTGGTGGGCGTGTGTAGTTAGATAGACTCTGCTTTGGTCTGTCTTCACCTGTGAAATACACACAGGTGCAAGCTGTCCCTGTGAGATCAGCAACAAACCACAGTGGACGTGGGCATCAGAGACATTCCTTTTGCCAGGAAAAATCGGGGCTTCTCTGAGCAATTAACATGATGGTATATTGTGGCTGCAGTGGAGCATGTAATGGCTCAGGTTTCCCTCATTGCTTTGGCCACTAGGAAGCTCACTTCTGGTACTTTATCCAAAACCTGGCCTTGTTCATGGTCTATCTTGTTCGTCCTGTATCCCCAGCCTAAGCACAGTAACTGGTGCAAAGGAGACACTCAGGATATATTTGTTGAATAAAAAGAGGACAAGTGTATAAATCGATGAACACACAAACCCTCCACATCGCTCAGATGCTGCCTCGGTTGGTCTTAGTCCTCAACACAGAATTCATTCTTTCACCCGTACACGACTTCCCAAAGTTTCCACGCACTGGGCCTTACGTGCCCCCTCCACTGCCGAGGCTAATTACTGGCATTTGGTTACTTTCGGCAGTTCTGTTTTCCTCCAAGTGTGAGGTGTTCCTTCGGAGCAAGTGTGGAGAAACCCATCTCAAGGGGCAGAGGGGAGCTCTGAGTCCCACCCGCAACAGGCCCTGCAGACAAGCCCTCTGTGCCTCAGTTTCCTCGTCTGTGCACAGACATCACAACACAGCCCCACGGGACTCCCGTGGTCAGATCTTACCTCCCCCGGCGCATGTGAACCTAGCACAGATCCCACCTCTGCGTGGACGAGTCCAGCCCCCAGACCCTTACCCACAAGGCCAGGCTCCAACTCCTGGACTAGTACCTCGTGCCCTCCCTGCTGAGTGGGAATCTGGCCCTGCCCTGCCCAGAGGCAGGAGCGGAGGGGAGGGTCCCCCCGGGGACACGAATCCACCTTACTGTGCTTTGAGCACTGACCCCGCTGAGGCTGAGCACGTGGCTGGCACCGTGTCCCTAATCCTTGCTCCGTCTCGTCTCGAGAGGCAGGTGCTGACACGGCCCGTCTTCCAGAGACGCTGAGGCTCACTCACTCACTCTAGAGTGGGGACTGCGTGTCTAGCAGGTCCCAGGAAGCATGCCAGGCCCGGGACCCTCGGGGGAGGCTGCCGTCTCACCTCCCAGAGCTCTCGTTCCAGCCTGGCAGAGAGGTGGGCAGAGCTGCCAGGCCCGCGGGCTGGGGGCCCCCCCGATACGGAGGGGGGCTTATTCTGAGAGTGATGGAAGGCTCCGCGGTTCTAAGCAGAGGGGCGACATGACCCAATTTGTGTTTGTAAAGGCTCCCTCCCGCCCCTGCGGGGAGAAGGGACTGCTGGACTAGGAAGAGGCAGCGGGGGGGCCCAGCGAGGAGGCCGCTGTGGTCCAGGCAGGGAGGACCAACGCTGGGCCTGGCCCCTCCCCTGGCCCCCAGCCACAGCCCCCTCCCCAAGCACCAGCCTCGTACTGGGCAGACATGGCTGGTCTGCAAGAGGCCTGGGTGAGTGTGGGGCTGGCCCAGAGGCCCTTCTCCCCGTCCAGACACATGGTGCCCGGGCATGCCTGGCAAGGAGAGGTTCTGGACAGTGACAAAGCCAGCACTCAGCCCCCTCCCTCCCACTGCCAGTCCCCAGAACCTCATTACAATCACACGGGCCCAGAATGTCAGGACAGCACTGCAATTTGCCTGCAGGATTTATTCTTGTCGCGTAAAAATCGGTTTCCACCAGAGGGGCTGGAGAAGTGCATTCCAGCTCGCTGTGTGCAGCTGGGTGGCCGTGCCAAGTGGGGGAGGGAGCGAGTCCTCGGCCCGGCAAGGGGGGCGGGCTTAGGGATGCCCAGTGGACATCTCGCTGCGGGGCTGAGAGAACACCTGTGTATGCTGACAACTCCCTAGAGGTTGGGTGGGGCATGACAGCCACCCCCCTTTTGCAGATGAGGAAACTGAGGCCCAGAGAGCAGAAGTCACCTGCCCAAGGTCACCCAGCCAGGAAACAGCAGAGGCAGGATGGGGGCTGGATCTCCAGACCCCCAGGCCAATGTGTCGCCTTCCGGCCGAGCGGGGGCACTGCCAAGCATGATGAGGAACGAGGACCTAGGTGGGGACAGCCGAGGTCAGCCAGGCCAAAGGGAGCCTGAGGCTCAGAGGGCCCTAGTGAGCCCAAAGTCACCAGTTCCTCTGGGGTCACCCTGTGCCACCCCTGCATCTCCCATCATCACTGACGGGGTGGACTCCAGCTCACCCACCTCCTCTCCACCTCACAGGCCCCCTTCATGACATGCTGGATGTCATGGACCACCTGGGCCACCGTCCCCCTGCTGCCCAGTCAGACACATCTGTTTTCATCCTGAGGGGTGGCAGGCACACGTGCCCAGATTCACACACTTTCTCGTGCATGAACACACATGTGTGGTCACATATACACACATGCACACATGCCCCCAGATTCACAGACGGAAAGGCACGCGTGCCTACACACACCCCGGGGCCACTTCTCCCGGCCTCCGCCCTCCTCCGGTCCAAGCCACCAGCACGCTGCCCTGGGTTACTCACTAGCCTCTTCCCCCTCGCTGGCTCCGGCCTGGCTGAGGACACGGCCAGGAGGGCCAGGCCACAGGGGAGGGTCGGGCTAGGCTGGGTTCCTCGGAGCCCGCTGCAGCTCGACCTGGACCAGCGCACAGGCCCCGCTAGAGTGAGCGATGGGTGGGCAGGGAAGGGGCGCTTCTCCCCCAGCTGGGGGCATGTCCCTCATCCCAACTCACCCTCTGGCTGGAAACTTCTGGATGCCCGAAACGGGGAGCACATGATGTCTGGAGTCGGGGCGGGCAGGGGTCAGAGCGGGCCCCTCTGTGCCAGCCCGGCAGCGGGCAGGCGGGCCGGACCCTGAGGCCTGACGCAATGGAAAAAGAAACCACAGCTTAGGCTGGGCTGGGCCCCCTCCCCTCCTACTCCAGCAAGAGGGCTGCGGGCAAGGTGTCATTAAGGGAGGCCGGGCCTGCCATGCGCATCTGGCCGGGATGGAAACGCAGCCCCCACCCACCCCACAGGTAATTTGAGGTTTCAGGCTGGAGAGGGGCCCTGGGGAGCCAAGGCCTGCTCCCGGATGGTCCTGACTCCTGGCCCAGATGGACACAGGCCTTCTGGGGTGACCAGACCCCCAGGGAAGGAGCTAGAAGGCGGGGATACCCTTTTAGAGATGGGTTAACCGAGGCAAAGAGAAGGTAGGGCTTGGGAACTCCCATTCATTTATTCAACAAACATTTCTTGAGCACCCTGGGGCTACAGCAATGAACGAGAAGCAGAGGCTTCAGCCCCTACAGGGTCCACTGGCCCCAGCTCCTAAGACATCTTGCCCATTAGGCAGAAGGACAGGATTTGGAGCCTGGCGCTGAGCCACAGGTCTAGAACATTCTGGTTTTAGCCAGAAACCTAGGACTCCATCATCCTTGACCTCTCTCTTGCTGTCACCCCCCATATCCCACTGCTGCTGCTGATTCCACCCCAAGTTGCACCCAGCATCATCCTCCTCTCCCCACTTCCACTGCCTTGGCCCGGCCTGGCCCCCATCATCTTGTGCCCAGCCATGCACTGGCCCATAACAGGTCCCACTGATGCCACTCCAGCTCCAACTCTCTCCTCCACACCAGAGCCAGAGGAACGTGCCAATCAGATGCTACAGAGCTCTACCTGAAAATCTCTCAGTGGCTTCTCCTTCCAAGGGAACCCAAGCCTCCCCAGGCCGACAGGGCCCCACTTGACCTGACCTGAGCTCATGCCACCCTCCCCCTTGCTCCTGCTGCCCCAGCTACACTGGCCTCCTTCTGCTCTGCAAATATGCCAGCCTCTCTCCTGTCTCAGGGCCTTTGCACTTGCTATTCTTTGTGCCAGAAATGCTTTTCTTCACATGACGGGTCTAGTTGTCAGCTTAATGTCACCTCCTCAGAGGCCTTCCCTGGTCATCCAGCTAATGTAATCTCTGTCTCAGCCCCACACTCTTTCCTTCACATATCATTGTAATGTACACTCATTTTACTTGCTTGTCTGTTCACCTTGTGTATTGTCTGTCTGCTCCCCCAGAACGTAATTTCCATGAGGGAGAGATCACCACTGTTTCCCCGGCATCTACAGCAGCATCCGCATGTAGTGAGTGCTGAATAAATATATGCCAAGCAAACGAGGGAGGGAGGGAGCCCACCAGGCAGTCTCTTTAATCTGCAGCCCCAGAAAAATCACAGCCGCCTGCCCCGCATATGTCACTTGAGAGATCGCAAGGCTGCTTCTCAAACTCTGGACCCTTGTCGCTGCTCCAAGAGGCCAGCAGGAGAGGGGCTCATGTTGCACTTCACAGGGGTGGAAACGGAGGCCCAAGAGGGGGCAGCAGCTTTTCTGAGCCAGGGAAAGATGGTGCTGAGGCCAAGAGCCACGAGTCCATCCTTCTGCCTACCGTTGGTCCAGCGGCTCAGGACCCCGGAGCCGGGCTGTGCACCCCACCGTGGGGAGGAAATGCCAAGGTGGCCGAGGGTCTCAACCCAAGATGGGCTGTGACTGGGAGACACCAGGAGAGGAGGCACAGGGGGATGGATGGCTGAGGGGGAGACGTGGAGACCCCGACGGGATGGAAGGGGAGGGAAGGGCAGGCCCTGCGGCCAGGATGGCAGCATGGTGTGCCATCTGGAGAAGCATGTTCAACTTGATAGTTGGAAAATGAAAAAGGAAGTTGTGTTCAGTGCCAACTGTAGGAAGTAACACTCTACAAAGTCCTGTTGGCGGCAGTAACAAGGACAGGGGCTCAGT